GGCTGGATGTTGGGCGGCCGGCAAAAGCGATATAATCAGGCTAACATTACATTACATTACATTGATACATCTATTCTTTTCTTCGGAAGATGTGCCCCAGCCCCCTCCTGTCCGTCATGATGCACGGGTGCATCGAGGCCGGCCGGGACCATGCAGGCGGGGGTACGGAGTACCACGACCTGGGCTTCATGTTTGTGGGCGGTGCAAACGCCATCGACTCGCTCTACGCCATCAAGAAGCTGGTGATTTGATTTGATTTGATTTATTGGGATTGTAAACAAATACAATAGTCGTGGGCCACAGGCTGGTGTTGTGGCCCACACACAAAACAATCATAAGCACACAAACAAGACACACATTTAAACCTAATATAAGTACATTAAAATAAGTATAAGGGTACTAGAAACAGCATAGATTAGAATACTAGTATATCAGTCCATTTACTACTTGATACAGTTCATGCGGTTTCTAGCCGACAGAATGTTCTCGTGTCTGGGCCACGTCTCCGGGTCGACTGGTGCTTCTGCTGTGTGAGCAGATGGGCCTGACACATGTTCTTAAATATACTAATGCTGCGGGCCTCTTTAACAGGTGTACGAGCCACTCACGGCGCTGACCACCCTCCCGGACCTGCTGGCCTGCCTGAAGTGCGACTGGGGCCACGACATGAAGGAGTACCTCGTCGACGTCCGAGCCGGACCGAGCAGGGGAGAGGTACGAACATTGGGACAGTGTGGTCTCAACTCATTATACGAACTGAACACAATTACTACCAGAACTGAACCGTTTAAATGCATCCTAAATGCATCCAGTGCAGTTTTTTAAGGGCTTAGAAATCTACCCATTTATCTACATAAACACACTTCACCTTCACCTTGTCCCTTCCTCTTCTGGAGGGTCGGGGACTGTGGTAGCATTCAGCACAAGCTTCCTCCATCCATCTCTGTCCTTGGCCATCTGTGTGCAGTCAGCCAGGGACCTGCCTGTCCAATCTCTGATGTCGTCTACCCATCTCCTTCGCGGCCTCCCTCTGCTCCTGCTACCACAGATCCGTCCTTGCAGGATGTGAGTTGAGATGTTCTGTGCTCTCGACACATGTCCGAAGTACTGTAAACACACTATCCCAACGTATATTGACCATCATGGAGCAAAAATACCCTGTACAATCAACTGTACATCTTGATCACGGAGTGACCTAGTCTCTCTCCGTGATCAAGATGCACAGTCCACAAAAACAGTCACCGATTGAAGAATATTCTACTAAGTTTAATCTAAAGTGACTGATGGACCTCTTTCACGACCATTATTATCATTACCATAGGTGCAGGCTAACTTCTTCAAGCATCTCCGGAACGCCGCCCTGGCCCTCCCCAAGTTCGGTCACGGCGAAGACGAGGAACTGAAGGAGCTGGCGACTTGGCTGTTCGAAAACGTCTTCAAGATCCTTCGGGAGACCTTCGAGAACGCGCCCGTCGGAGTGAAGGAGATCTTCGAGAGGCTGGAGAAGGACTACTCCCTCCCTGGCCGGCCCTTCGGCTTCGTAGCGCTGCCGGGAATAGGTAAGGAGGCCCAAACTCTAATTTGTTAAGAAATACCATTTTTGTGACAAAAAAGGCTAAACGTTCTGTGCCAACACTAGGTAAATTGGGACTTACCCAAATTTTGGAATGAACAGGGCTGACAGAGTTAGCTGAAATGTCAGTCCCAATTTACCTACTGTTGGCAACACAGATTAACTTTCAGGCTAAAATACCATATTTGTAAGGCCGAAATTGTTTGTTTCTGACACTTGTTTGTCGGTTCTTGTAGATTTTCTTGTATTACATGATGGAGTCTTCCTACGACGTCGGGAAGGTGATAAAATTAAGTCCTCAAACATTTTTTATTAACTTCTTTTCCGTTTATAAAAAAAAACGTACAAAAACAGACAAAACCTTGTGGCAAGCCCCCCCCCCCTAATTCGTACATACTCGTACATGAAGTTTTCTTAAGTATGACAGGTTACAGGGAATGTTAGTCTCGAGCATTATGTACACTCAGGAGAATAGTGTATGACAGAAATAAGGCTTGTTCCGCAAACATGCTTCCAAGTCAATTTTTGGCCTAAAGTATAAATAAGTATAAATAATAAAAGACGTCGGCTTAGCCTCGCGGGTCATGTGACTCGTGGTACAGAACCAGCGGGTCGATTACTCCTCTGGACTCCAGAGGCAAAAAGGAGGATTGGTCGTCCAATCACAACACTTAAGGGTCTTATTCAGTCTGACACTGGTCTACAAGGAATGGAACTTTTGTCTGCTATGAAAGACAGGCGACAAAACTTCACTCGCTGCACCTCAGAAGAGGATGAGTAAAGAAGAAGAAGTGTAAATAAGCTTCTTTTTTCGCTAGGCACTTTCGAAGCGTACGTGGGGTACGGGCTGGCCAACGGAGCGTCGCCGGACGGACGGCGCAGCGGACAGCCCATAGCATCCGACCTGAGCCCGGCACCGGTACCCCAGGACCTGCCTGCCAGTCCTGACAGCTGTGACATCTACAAGTAAGTAACAATAGCGAATGGTGCTTATAATACATTTTGTCGTCGGACGGACGGCGCAGCGGCCAGTCCATAGCTTCCGACATCAGCCCGGCACCGGTACCTCAGGACCTGCCTGCCAGTCCTGACAGCTGTGACATCTACAAGTAAGTGGAGATTGGGAATTCGAACAACATCAAATGATTCTGACGTTTTCTTTAAGTTTTTCATACATGTTCCCTCCTTCAACTAAGAAAATGTATTGCCCTTTGAACGCATTTCTAAAAGGAGGTGAGAAAAAACGTCAAATGATGATTACGTTTTGTTTTGTCACATCTTCTCTCCCTCAACTAAGAGAATCCATTGAAATCCTTTTGAAAACGTATTTTCTCTGCGAACCGCCTGGTTTGTTCAGGGCCTTGGAATGCTGGAACCTTGACGTCATCAACCACGACATGTCGTGTGGCTCCGAGGTGGATCTGCTGATACGTGAAGACTTCCCATTGGACAAGCTGACCGACTTCCTACGTCACTACTCCGACCTCGACGTTCCCATTGGCTCCAACGTCATCACAAGTAAGCTTTATGAAGAAGTTAAACTGTTCTCCAACTCAAAATTTGACTCACCGGAATTTTTGACTGAATCACTCAGTCTTCCTCAGCTATCTGACCCAAATGCTGTGGACACGTGATTTTTCCCACGTGTGACGTCAGCAAAGAGTCAAAGGTTGTTTTAAGTCGATATCGCCCCCCGTCCCGGTTGAGCGATGGTTGAAGTGCCCTGATGTATATGGCCTCACGTGGGAAAAATCACGTGTCCACAGCATTTGGGTCAGATAGCTGAGGAAGACTGAGTGATTCAGTCGAGTCAAATTTTTAGTTGGAGAACAATTTAACTTCTTCATAATGTAATTTACCAACTCACATGAACTTTCATGCACAAGTAAGCTTTGTCCTGATTGGTTCTTGTATAACAGCTGGTGTCCTGTTGCCTGGTTACCAGACCTATTTTAGCTCCCGACTCTCCGCTATTTGTGGGAGCTAAGATATTAGACTAGGTGTCCTGGGGATAACTACTAACGAATAAAGATGTATACTGTATTCTAGAGCTTTCGCCCAGTCACTCTGGTCTTCCTCAGTGGACTGACCCAGTGAGGCTTGCCACGTGGCTTCTTTGAAGTGTGACGTCAACACTGACTCAACCGCGACGGGGGCCGACATCGTCTACCAGATACCTTTGACTCAGTGTTGATATCAAACGTTTTAACTTTAAACACGCAACTACCAACACAGATGTACTTTTATGATGGTAGATTAATCTCAAGTTAATTTTTCTCCTTTTTTTTCACTTTTTAGTCACGTGTGCAGATCCGGAGACGCTGGAGAAGGCGTCCAACATGACCGACCCGTACGAGCTAGTGCGCGTGCGCCAGGGCGGCTGGACCGAGTTCTTCATCACGCTGTTCCCCGTGCACCAGGGTCAACAGCGACGCCGCATGTACGTCATCCCGTGACGTAGGCACGTCAGATCGTGACGTAGGCACGTCAACCCGTGACGTAGCACGTCAATTCATAACGTAGGTACGTCAACACGTGACGTAGGCACGTGAAACAGTGAAATATGCACGTAAAACCGTAGCTTAAGCTTTGACCTTCAATCATATTGACCAATGCATGATATTTTAAATGCGCATTTAGAACTGTGAGTTGGCTTATTTTCCCATCGTTCTATTAGATGTACTCGTAGTGTTTGCCCATAGCTATCAACACAGATTACAGAGAAAGATGACCGAACAGAGCACAATATATGTCATAGGATAGTCACTTACGTAAGGGAAACCATATAACTATATGTATGTAGCAATACGTTAAAGAACGTTTATTTTGTATGCATTGTAGCATAGAATTTGTAAGACCGTATAAAGGAGTCGGTGACTTTAATTAAGGTAAGAAGAATCTAGCCATGATAGCTGCAGGTCTTAGAGCGCTTTAACTACTGTCTTAGCTATCGGAGGATTTCAAACGTCGATCGCGAGTGGGTGGCTGGGAAGATTGGGTGGCTGGGTATATGGGAATTTCATCAAGATTTTGGCGTTCGTTTATACCTTAAAGAACTCTTTTTGTACGGAAGGCCAATAAAGTGTGAGTTGAATTTTGATCACGAATATTTGTGGATATGGTGATACAGTTTTTGGTGAAATAAATCAAGATAACTGAAGTTCTGCCTTTGTGTCTTCATGATACCAAAAAACAGTATATCGTCCCTTATTCAATCAAGTATTAAAGAAAAAGACAGACAAAGAAAAAAACATTCTTCTTTTAACTTCCCAAAACCCACTAATTTTAGGAAAGGTGGGACATTATACGTCTGCCATGGTCTGAAAAAGAGAAGTCAAACCCCTTAGACATAGTTTTAGACATAGCTATAGCTCTAGACATAGCTCTTTTAGCTATAGCTCTAGACATAGCTATAGCTATAGCTCTTTTATCATGTAGATTTTAGTTATTTTATACTACGTTTCATTGTTCTTTTATGTTTGTAATTTGCAATTAGCCCCCCGGGCACGAATTTGCAATAATCTTATTAAAAATTGACTAAAACAGGAAACTAGATCCATCATTACCCCCCCCCCCATTCCTGGTTCACTGTCATGACGTCAGTTCTAGCGCTGTTAACGTGTTGGCTGCTGATTGGATGGTGAACGTGATGATTGACAGCTCCTTCCGAACGTTTCGCCACGCCCCCTCGGTGCCTTCCTTGCTGTTTACGGCCAGGTACACGGCGTCGCCGAGAGCAGGGAAGGTCGCTGTCGAGTACAGGCGGCCGGACATAATGGTGTGCCTGTAGCAAACATAATGTCGTTCTTTTTTCATCCAGAACCGTACTTTATCCAAAACCGTGTCCAGGCGCGGTTCTGGATAGTCCACGCATGCGCACAGTACTGGATAGTCAGCGCATATCTAGAACCGTGCCTAGGGCAATCTACGTTCTTGGATCCACGGATACCATGCAAAACCATGCCTGATTGTAACACGGAACCATTCAGAACTATATACATAAACATGGTTATGGATATAACAGTTGCCCAATGACAAACCACAACCCATAAGAGGCCATAAGAAACATTGTAAAGCCCACATTATAGTTGAGTCATTTTTTAAAAAAGGAAACAAACCTGTAGAATTTCCTTCCCGTCAGGCCTTGCGGGTCGATGAAGGCTCTTTCCAGCTGCATCAGCTGATCGTTGTACATCCGGGCAACAAACGGACTGCCAGAGATAAAATCATCACAGAACATTAATTATAAGGCAAGTTCAAACTGTAATTTCAAAATCTCCAACACACGAAATTTGACTACCTAAAATTTTCGACTGTACAACTCTAGTCTTTGCCAAGGAATGAGCAATCCACCGCTTGTGTGACGTCATATCATGGAGAGGACCCACGCGACTCGGTGAACATGTTCGATAATGTATAATTACCTTGAAGTTTAACTTCACGTGGTCTATCCTAACAAACCACTGCTCTGTTTATCCTTACTCAAAAACATTCATAGCAGCCCCTCTGTCCTGCTACAGAATGTAACCCAACACCACAGCCTGTCTTCTACAGCACTAGTTGCCATGGTGACAGACGCCAGGTCTAGGTCATTGACCTTATTTGTTTAGAGAAGAAGAGGAAGAGGGAACATAGCAAAAACATGTTTTCCTTCATAGTTCAGTAGATAAACACTTACTTCGTTATCTTTGCAGCGGTCACCTCTGCGTCAAAGGCTTCCGCCGCTGCTGTGAAGTTGTTTACTGCAGATGTCAGCGCGTCTGCGTGGAACGGACAGAAGAAAGAAAAGTCAATCCTGAATTCCTCCATGTACTAGCTACATAATGTAACCCAACATCATAGGGCGTCTGCTACAACACCAGTGGCAACGGTGATAAGTGCCTGCCAGCCTGGACCAGGTCATTGACCATGTGTGTTTGGAGAAGAAGAAGAAGAATCACAATATGTTTTCTTCTGCGAAGGTAGCCTGGTGTCTAGTCAGTCTATCGCGGTCGGACGGGTTCTGTATAGGGCTGTAGAGCCCCCCCCCCCCCTTCCGCCTCATCAGCCAGGGTTTGTACGACGGGAGTTCAGTCAGCCTCACCATATATAGCTAATCAACTCCTTGCGTGCAAAACTCCTACCGGGCTGTCTGTTGAGCTGGACGGGCGAAAACAAAAAGAGCCCCGAACTACAGGCTGCCCGAACCATATGATAGACTGGGTACCAGGCTACTGCGAAGGTAAACAGGTACACACGATATCCTCACCGAGAGAGATGCCTCTCGCCGCCATCTGGCCCAAGTATGTGGTACCCAGTGAGATAGTATGTGTCAATGCCATACATATTGCCTTATTCGGCATATTTCCAGTCCTGATATTGCATTGGGTGACTTTAAAACAAAACTACATCCTCACCGAGAGAGATGCCTCTCACCGCCATCTGCTTTCCGTACGAGGTCCGCAGGTCGGTCAGCATCCCGCCGAGGACGGCGCCGTACCCGGCCAACCGGAGCGGCAGGACGAGTCCGTCGGCCAGGGAGCGCGCCGTCTCCGCCCACAGCTGCGCCAGCGCCCGGTGGAATACGAAGCCCGGGTCGACGAATTTCTTCTGCAGGTGGAAGGTCGCGTACGCCGTGTGGTAGAGCGGGTAGTCGGATTGTATACCCGTGGACTGTGGGGAATTCAAGTCAACATGATTCAAGTCAGCATGATGTCTAAAGTTCAAAACTGGACTGGCGAGGACGTCCCCGCTGCATTGAGTCGCCCCAACACGTTTTGTATATATGTATATATATGTATATGTTCTACTAACACACTAAATGCACTGTCTTGTCTTTTTCACCCACAGATTCAGTTATTTACGTTCCTTAGTGTCCCCTCCTTCAGTTACCCTTGTTTTTTATTTGTACCGGTGACCTGTTTTGTAACAGCTGCTAGTAATCCAATGTAAATCGGGCTAAGCAGTACATAAGATGATGATGAAAGTGGTAGAGCGGGTAATCAGATTGTATACCCGTAGACTGTGGGAAATTTAAGTCAAAATGATGTCTATAATTGAGAGACTATTTTTATCCTTCAGTATATATATAAAACTAGACAAGAGACAAACAAGGTAATGGTAATCTTAATAATTATACAATTGCACTGCATAGTGCATGGAGAAGAAAGAAGAAACTGAGCAAAAACAATATGTCTTCCTTCTGCAAAGCGAAGGTAAACATAAGGCCATGTTGATTTGATTATATGGATGACATCCGCGCGCGCATGAATTTTCGGCCGTTTCCAAAAAAAAAAGTTTCCAACCACACTGTAAATTGTACAAAACAGTTGCAAAATGAGCAAATATATACCGAAAGTTGCAAAAAAATATTTGAAAACGATTCCAACGTCGTAGAATGCCAAAATCAAACAAAAAACTAAAATGCAAAGAAATGAATTTAAAGAGTAGATTATTCGCCATACCATACTCTGTGTCATTTGTTCGACCTTCATAACAACGTAGATTTCATGAAAGCAACTTTTTTTTTGCAAAACTTTTTTTTTTTATTCGCGCGCTCGCATCAGTTTTGGGGTTCCCAGAGGATGTCATCCATATAATCAAATCAACATGGCCTAACAAGATAAAATGGGCACAAAACAAGATGGCGGACCTTGTCCTGGTAAAACGCCAGGTCGATGCACGGGACGCCAATCCGGTTCACGAACGGGGCGTAGTCACTTCCAGCTCGAGGAAAGTCCACCCTGGTTCAGGAAACAGATTTCAGACTCCGGGAAGTGTTTTACTTTACTTAACTTTATTGGGGACTCCAAAAAACAGTTACTCAAGCAACTGGATATGATTTTGAAAATGTCAGACGTTTCAGCTAGTATCCACTAGCTTTCGTCAGTGACTGAGAGACCAGAGGGGAAATGCAGGTTTATAAGCACAAACACAAGCATTTCCCCTCTGGCCTCTCAGTCACTGACGAAAGCTAGTGGATACTCGCTGAAACGTCTGATCGTTTCCAAAATCATATCCAGTTGCTTGAGTAACTGCTTTTTGGCGTATCGTATTACCTGGATGTCTAACCTTCATCGACGTTTATTGGGGACTGACAACACATCAGGACACGGGTCAAGAAGGCAGTCGAAACTGGTAGTACATGACCCACAAATACAGACGTTATACAAACATAGATAACGAAATCTAACATGTTTCTACCTTGAAAAAACAGTCATTGGTTGAAGAATATTCTACTAACTTACTTAGGTTTTGTATCCGGGTCACCGACAACTTCCGGTGTGCGCTTCCGCCAGACGTCATACATGGTTTTCCCTTCCGGTGCACTGACAGGCCATGGAACCTGGATATTAGTCAACAGTGACTTGCTGGTTCATTCAGTACCAAGGACAGACCTTGCTGTATCCAGAACCGTTCAGCTCAGGCACGGTTCTAGATAGTCCACGCGTGTCCAGAACTGTGCCTGGTCGCAAATCTACCTTCTAAGTACGCGTAAACTATCCGGAACCATGTCTGATCCTTGAATCCATAGAACTAGATAGGTTCTGAAAACAATGTGTGTGAATGTGCTAAAACTACAGACGTATGGTCGGCCCACATGCCAATACGAGTTAAGTGCACTACCGAGTACAAGCTCACGACATCGCTTGTTTTAGCCTCGTAAACGGTCGTTGTCATTTGAAACGGCCGATGCCACATTGCTGATCGGCTCAGACCGCTCCGTTCACATCCTGAGGTTTCGTGGTGCAGAGGATTAGGGTTCTGGTATTAGGCTTTTTTGACCCGGTTCGAATCCGAGCTTGTGCTTTTCTTTCTTCACCAATATGTTTGCTACGATCACGATGTCGTTGTGCATTGAAATGTTGCTTTTTTGTACGTTTTGAATGTTTTCCCCTCAAAGAAGTTATGATAGGCTTGGATGTAGCATCGACCTTTTCAAATGGTGACGGCCGTTCGAGAGACGGAAATTCAAAAAAGCACACCTATGCTCACCTTCTTAGCGGCTTCCAGTAAGGCTGGGGCTAGAGGGGGTGACGCCCTTCCACGGAGGGTGTAGGTGGCTGTTCAGGGTAAAATGCGCCCACACAAAACCAGACAATATTATCTTGCAAATACAAAAAGAACATTTAACAAAGAAATAGAAAATTTTCCACGATATACGTCTGACGTACATAATAAGAAGTGATGTGGCATCGGAAAATGTTAAAAAGTTATAGCAAATACCATCGGGATAGTTGGTTCATAATGTATACTTACCTCTCACCGCCATATCCACATTCAAGTACGCCACAGCTCGCTCCGTTAGGATCTTACCAAAGTCCTTGGTAGGAAAAAGATATTGAAATCATTATGATCATGTTTCACATGAAGAAAATAACAAAAGAACGTACTGCCATTTATGATTTGGTTTGCGTCTTCCAATTTTATTCAACTGGTGAAGAATAAATGTCAGGAAGAAACAAATTCAGAAATTATCATGAAAGCTCATCTGTGTTGGTAGTTTTAACTACATTTTAAAATGTTTAAAGTTAAAACTTTCGATCCAACACAAAAAAGTTCTCTCACCTACACGTCACACTTCAAAGAAGCCACGTGACAAGCTTCACTGGGTCAGTCTACTGACTGAGGAAGACCAGAGTGACTGGTTTGAAAGCTCTAGGTGAGAGAACGTTTGGTGTTGGATGTAAATTTTTAACTTTAAACAAATTCAGAAAATGTTGAAGTGGCCTACTTCGACCCATTCGAACGACCCCAGTATTCCATATTCTTCAGCATCCCAGCTGCAAAATACGAGTGACCGTCTGGGGCGCCACCCTGCGGATTAGGTAGACATTGCACATACATTGGAAGATTGTACTAGTACTGATCAATATTTTGGCGTGGACTACTTTGACGTAGTCTCCACCAGACTCCTTGTACAGGCTGAATAAATCGTAGAAATCGGCCTAAAGGGGCATATAATTGGCCAGAGGTGTTTCCCGGCCATCGAGAGGCCAATTGGACCCTTCTTAAGCCGATTTCTTCGAGACTCACTTAGGCGAGCTATGGTTAGGGTGCAACGTTTTGGATAATAAAATAAAAAATATTGCATCGGGCGGAAGATGAACCCCACATTCCCAAAATATTGTATTTCATGTTAAAATTTTGAAAAGCAAAACTTTACTTGCATCGGCCGGGAATCGAACCCGGGCCTCCCGCGTGGCAGGCGAGAATTCTACCACTGAACCACCGATGCCGATATGGGAGAGGAGGCACGGTGTGACATTTTTACAAGAAAGTACACATCAAAACAGTCGTATTTTGGTAAAGAATGAAAGCCCCCCCCCCCCCACTGCAGATCCGATCAAGTTTGACCTCGACCCCCCCCCCCCCAACAAAATAAGCGCAGATCAGCAAAAAAGACAAAGGGCATTATATAAGGATAGCTAATTTTCCTAATCCTTCCTGCTATAAAATTGCAACATGATGTAACCCAACACTAGTTACCATGGCAACAGTGTCTGGTTAAAGGTCATTGACCATTTTGGTTTGGAGAAGAGGAAGAAGAGAAAACGTAGCAAAAACAATGTAAACATGATATAAGACATAAAAATACAGTGGATTTTTAAATCTACTGTTTTTTTTATGTCTTATATTATGTTTACCTTGTTTTTGCTACGTTTCCTCTTCTTATCCAAATCATTAAAATACCTCTTTTCAGCATCGCTCCGAAGGCGCGGCTGACCTCCAGTAGGGCACTGGTCCCGCTGCTGGGGTCCACCCCGCCCAGGTTCCACGCGTCATGGTGGTTACCTAGCAACACGTACCGGTCTGGGAACGAGAGTGACAAAGTTACCTAGCAACACGTACCGGTCTGGGAACGAGAGGGACAAAGTTACCTAGCAACACGTAACGGTCTGGGAACGAGAGTGACAAGGTTACCTAGAAACACGTACCGGTCTGGGAACGAGAGGGACAAGGTTACCTAGCAACACGTCCCGGTCTGGGAACGAGAGTGACAAGGTTAACTAGCAGCATCTACCGGTCTGGGAACGAGAGTGACAAGGTTACCTAGCAACACCTACCGGTCTGGGAACGAGAGTGACAAATTTGTAAAAACTACTAGTCATAACATATTTCAATCAATGTCACTTTATTAAATACAGCTTCGATATAGGGCAATTGTAAAACGCGCGAAAAAAATCTTAATTGTACTAATAAATGGATGGGATTAGATTTCATTCTACTTGTCTGTGTAACACTAAAGCAGTGTATTTCCCAGAGAGCCGTGATAAGTAAGGCTGCCTCCCAGGCTGTAAAGCCTTCTCTTGCCATATATGGAAATCCTTACCATATATGGCAATAGTTTGGATGATGCTGTACTCACCTGGCTCCAGGCGACCCCGAATGACCCCGATGACGTTGTGAATGGGTCTGACGTCACGGTTCACGTTCACGGTCAGCCGGACTTTCCTGAAAGACATGCAACCATTTACCTAATCTCCAAGCAGATCTTTCGGTGGGGGGTAAGACAGTATCAAATTGGCCAGTCTGTAACCATTTCCCAACCGAAAGGGTGTGACGGTGGAGCGGATGGGGGGTGGGGGGGGGGGTGTAGTGGATACAAGCTGGCCAATTTGATACTGTTTTACCCCCCACCGAAAGATCTGCTTGGAGATTAATTTTACCAGCTTTACAGAAAGTTTGACACTATTTGCGAGACACTGATTTTATAAAAAGGTCTCAAAGACATTTCGATGCAGCTATAGCTAAATGTCTACCAGAGGACGTTTGAAGTACGATACATCAATATAAATGTTACTACTAGTGGGTACACATTGTTCTGGATACAAACAAAAACGTGCACAATGTGCCACAAACCTGGCGCGTCCAGATGCCTGCAGTCCCGGACCAAGTCGGTAGGTGATGTTGAGACCACCTCTCCATAACGACGGGGCTTCGGGTCCTGTCATTGCACTGAGCGGTATATCAATCAATCAATCAATCAATCAATCAATCAAAGGTAACAGTACACAGTATTAATGAAGGATCCCCGGCGTGTATTACGCGGGTATAGAAAGTAGCTCGGACAAAATTCTTGAAAACTGGGTGAGTATATATTAGCCGGGTATAGACTGTGATGTCTGGTACAGGACTATTAGTACATATATATATCTGCTTTGAGAGTCACCGTTTGATTTGGATTGAGATGATATTCCAGTTTAAAAAACTACGTTCTGCTACCTTCTAAAGGAGCGGAAACGAGACCCAGTTTAAAAGGTATAAAACGTTTGCATCGGCCGGGAATCGAACCCGGGCCTCCCGCGTGGCAGGCGAGAATTCTACCACTGAACCACCGATGCCGATGAGGAAATGCGACACGGTGTGACATTTTTACAAGAATAATACATTTCAAAACAAACAGTATTTGTAAAGTATTAAAAGCTGACACCTCACAGTTCTGAGTCCGCATGCGTAATCGCGATGCATTGTGGTATAGCCTGACCCACAATGCCCTGCGGAGCCTGAACTGTGAGATGACGTAATGATGACGTCAGTTTTACCTGAGATGATGTAATGATGACGTCAGTTTACCTGAGGAGATGACGTAAGATGACGTCGGTTTTACTTGAGGAGATGACGTAATGATGACGTCAGTTTACCTGAGGAGATGACGTACTGATGACGTCAGTTTACCTGAGGAGATGCCAGGCGTCGTCATACCCTATGGGGTGGGCGGGGATGGTCGGGAGCGGCTCACTCTCACTTTCGTGTAACCGGAACATGTAATCTAGGGTGAGATATGTAGAGGCCATACTCATTCGACTACTAGTGTATAACGTTACATTAAAATCTTATGCAAACACGAAAAAAAGTTGGACCAAAAAAGATTGCCTTCGTTACGGAATCCAAGGAAATTTAAGTGTGTCTCACAGTAGCTTGGTCTAGGACGTACCTTTTGCAGGATAACCCGGTGTAAGCGGTTCTCCCTCCATGTTTGTGTAGAGGTACATCCCCCTCTGGACTGCCGTGCCCGGGCCGAACCACCCCTCCGGGTACACCGGCCTGCCGCCGGCCCCCGGGCCCGTCCCCATCATGTCAGCAGGGTCCGAGTACACGATCAGGCCCAGCGCACCGCGTTCCTGGCAACGTCTCAACTACGTGCAGGGGACGGAGGGCAAGACGGTAAAAAGTTACCCGTCAATGTAGTACTTATATTTTAGACTTAAAAGTTTTGAAACACAATTTATATATGTGTTAACGAATTCTGCTAGTTCATTAGTGATGCTGAAGAAGAGTGATGGATGTCACTCGAAATGTCCAGAAATTATCTTCGTAATTTATCCAGTAGAAAAATTTGAATTTCCTCTGATTATTGTTAACCTGGATGTTTAACCTTCATCAACGAAAAACAATTGCTTCGGCCGGCAATCGAACCCGGGCCTCCCGCGTAACCACTGAACCACCGACGCCAGGTGCAGTGATTCTGGGGGATCTGAGATTTTCGGGATAAACTTGTTGTACATGGAACACATTTTTCACGTAAAATCTCTGCCTAAAAGAAAAATTCAGGGTGGAATCCGTACACGCTTGGTTTAGAAACATGTTCCACTCAGAAGCAGTGAGTAAAGAGCAATATGCAGTAAGTCCTGTTTCTGTACCTTTCTGCCTCTCGATGCCTTGGAATGCCCGTAGCGAGCGATGACGATTTTCCCGGCCACCGTGATGCCCAGGGCCTCCAGGTGGTCGAAGTCCTCCGGTCGGCCGTAGTTCACGTAAACCAGGTCTCCCTTAGAGCGGAACAGACGAACTTTTCAAAGCCCTGTCACACATAACGTTAGAACACGTCGAACTCACGCCAACCACACCCCCTCCCCCAAGCCATGGTTAGGGTTAGGGCTAGGGTTAGGGTTAGGGCTAGGGTTAGGGTTAGGGTTGGGGTCCGGGGTAGGGGAAGGGCTGGGGATGGGGCTAGGGCTGGAGCTAGGGCTAGGGCTAGGGCTAGGGCTAGGGCTAGGGCTAGGGCTAGGGCTAGGGCTAGGGCTAGGGCTAGGGCTAGGGCTAGGGCTAGGGCTAGGGCTTGGGCTAGGGCTAGGGCTAGGGCTAGGGCTAGGGGGTTAACTTGGTTAGGATTATTTCACGTAAACCAGGTCATCCTTGAAGGGAACAGACGAACTTAAGACGTCCAACGCAGAAGACAAGGAAACTTTTCATAACAGGTTAGTTGGGATTGATTGTGTCATTTCTATCACATGCCCTCTTGATAGTCTCCACGTATCCAAAAACAATATTAGATTTGCCCCAGGCACGATTCTGGATACGCGTGGACTATCCAGAACACGGCTCTCAACCGTTACCTGGACGGTTCCCGAGGGAGAGTATCCGGCGAAGGGCGACACCACCCCGGCGATGTCCGCCGGCGGGTCCAGATCCAAACTCGGCTCGCGGGGAGCTGATCGGAACAGCTCCTTCTCGTCGCTACATTCGGTAAAATAAGGTGCAAGCTTTACAGCTTTGTATTTAGCAACCAACCTAAACCATATTTCTAACAGCTGTTATAATTTCAAATTCGCCATCAGCGGCTAGTAAAACAGAACCGTCTAAAACCCTTTAGATATAAGATCTACAGCGCTAACTGTGGGAGCATTTTAGCGGAAATTTTACAACTTTGACAGTTACACACTGAAAACATTACTTTGAAATTAGCCCAACTGCTTTGTATGCGTCGTATGTCAATGGTACAGGCTATTCGCTATTCTGACCCAAGTGCTATACTAGGTCAAAGTTCGTCGTAAGTCGGTGCCGCCCCCCGTCCCGATTGAGAGGAGGTTTTAGGTGGAAAATTCCGGTCAGTCAAATTTTTTTGAGTTGGAGAACAGTTTATATCTCATTATATGTAACTTAAACAACTCAGATGAACGTTCATGTTAGTTCTAAAACTCACCTATCCAGAAGGGCGACGAAACTGGGTTTGTCCGGGTCTGGGTACGAGAGCAGAACGTGGTACGGAGCGATGTGCGCAGAATCCAGACCCTGGTCCAACCACGCCTTTCTCACGTACTCGGCAACGCTGTAACTCCCCTCAGTTCCCGCTAGGTGAGGCTTTTCTGTTAGCTTCCTACGAAAAAGCAATCAGTTCTCTAATAACATGTAATTAATTAATTATGTAAGTTGATGATAGTCTCTACAATACAAACAAGAAAAAGTCGTAGACATCATCCCTCCATGAAATATTTTGTGGTTTTGTTAGTTGTTTTGGTGTATTTTGTGTTATGATATGATATGATATATGATATGATATGATATGATATGATATAATATGATATGATATGTTTGTTTCTATCACTCATCATGTCACAGTTTTGCTAATCTAAGTCTAAACTTCTGCTTGGACAGTACGTATGCTAGTGAATGATAGCCTGGTTACCAAACCTATTATAGCTCCCGAGTCCTACAGCCTCTTCCCAAATCTATTTTTAACTTGAGTGCGTCGCCATCGTGTCTGTATTTCTTTATATATGTTTTGATTAAAAAAATCTATTTGAGGAGAGGCTGAAGGACTTGGGAGCTATAATAGGTTTGGTAACCAGGCTAAGTGAATGAAGAATCCCCACCTCAAGTGTTCCTCGATCCGGGCCGCGTCTATTTCGTCCATGAGCGCCTCGGACACCCAGCCCTCCGCCTCGGCCAGGAGCGCGCCCAGGCCGGCCGGACCCTCGGCGGTGGGAGCACGGCCGCCCGGGACCTTCCCGGCGGTGGTACATGTACCACAGCCATCAAGCCACCGGGAGAACCTGATCGCTATCAGCACGTCGGCGACCAGCCCGACCCCGACACACGCCGCGGCCAGGAGGAAGACCCGTGCGCGAAAACCCATGCTTCTTCTCGTTCTTGAGATGATACTGTGCAACAACGTGTCCCTCGGTATGGATCCGCTGGGGAAGACGGATGCCCAAAGTGTGTGGGTCTCAGATTCGCAACCTGTTATCCACCTTGAACAAATCCAAGCGAAGGCCACTGTGTCAACCCTCCTCACTCAGGTGTAGGGACTGACACGGTCTCGTTGTCTCTCGAGGCAGAAGGATGCCAACAACTGTGCAACACCCCCTTTGTCGGGGTAAGAAGCACAGGAGGGAGTGCGCTGCGCCCTTATTGTTTCCTCAGGTGCAGAAGTACGGCTTTCTTCTTAAAGTTGTCAGCCTCTGTGATTTCTGTTATGACCCGAGGATGCGCGTTCCAATCCCTGACGGTCTGAGAATATATCTGCAGCAGTCTTTGTGGTGATACACTCATTCACAGTGTTCGGAACTGGCTCTGTCCCTGAGTTCTAGAGGATCGTCACTAAGGATCTTGATACCGGTTCGCTTTCGTCCAGCTGTAGATCTCCCGACTATTTTAAGAAATGATGAGACAGGCAAAGATCGTTTAAGCGTAATGATGTGATTAAACCGGTATAACCAGGGCAAAGCCGCATGCGCAGGTGATGGCCCAGTTCTAGTCTGTGTCAGTTTTAGTGACACTCGAAAACCAAATGTTAAGAAGTCCTTTTCTTGGGAGATGCTGTTTTTGTGTAGCTGGATGGTAAAGGTGAGGATTTTAGTCTTCTTATTTTGCTGGAAAAACAGTCTCCCAGCCATGTTTGTGTTGTTTGGTTCGCTGAAGAAGATACAGGTGTCAAATGGGGTCATCAGCTATTCAGAGGAGTCAGGGCCTCAGGGGTCTAACTTATGGCAGAATTCACTCGAGCGTCCAGCGTGTAGGTTTTTCTTATTTTGATCTCTAAGTGGACACTTCAGAGGTCGGAGTACCCTGCCAATATGTGCTTTTGAAGGTCTAAAACTCACGTAGATGACTTTTGGCCACTTTGGTCTGACAGAATTCCCATATATTAACATAGGAAAGCCAATAACTGGTCACCACTACAAATTTCGTCGGTGTTGTCTGTCATTTTCCCTTGGGAATCTTTCTTTCAATCAGCGGTACGTTTCTTTCGGACTATAATTTCCATGTTGCCCTCGGACATAATCTGCAAGCAGTTTCTGAGGGGCAAGCAAGGGTAGTCTATACTGGCCGCCTGTATCCACTGACCTCCTATATTAAATTGTAGGCCAGTTCCGTCGTCGCTAAAAGAACACCGTGTCTTAGTATTGAATCAAGTTAAGATTATTGTCAGGAGGCTACTATTGCAATTCTCGGAGCCCAAAATAGTGAAGATTTGCCGAGAAATTATGGTGCTGACTTGTTCTGGGGTTGGTGCCGAGTTGTCCTGAATGGCCAGGGGCCGAGTTGTCCCGGGGCTGGGGCCGAGTTGTCCTGACACCTCCTGTAACGGCTGGCTGCAGCCAATGGATACAGGTGCAACGGCTAGAGTGTTGGACTCGGAACCAATAGGTCCCGGATTCGATACTCACCGTGGCCAGACGTTGTGTCCTTGGGCACTTTACACGACTTCCCCACCTGTACGGTGGAGTGACGCCCACCGAGCCCCTAAGGTTACCTACCGTGGCCGACAAGTACAAAATTTTACACCGCAACTTTTGGTGTTTTACACCGCAACTTTTGGTGTTTTACACTGCAACTTTGGGTGTTTTACACTGCAACTTTTTCTGTGTTTTACACTGCAACTTTTTCTGTGTTTTACACTGCAACTTTTGCTGTGTTTTACACTGCAACTTTTGGTGTTTTACACTGCAACTTTTGGTGTTTTACACTGCAACTTTTGCTGTGTTTTATACTGCAACTTTTGCTGTGTGGAAAACTTACACCCCTCCCCTTTTATAATGGACGGTCCCCCTGTCAGGTCAAAGGTGACAAAGATGGCGGCGGCAAGTCACAAGCTGACGTCTAGGGACATTAAAATGAAGAAAAACGATGTCCATACCCAATAATAATTCACGAGTTGCACATTCCCAGGATCCTTTGCGCCCAGGGTAGGTCACGTGGGCGTCAGGGTAGGGAAAGGTCGCGGTAAACCACGTGACTCATCCTCGGCTCTGGTCGGAAGAAGTCGGAAGTGTTCGCGAGCGCTCGGAAATTTCAAAAATGGCTGACACCACTGCCGGCGGCGGGAGGTACGTAGTTTTTCACGGCGTTCGTACGGCAAAGCGGCATCGAATTTTTGCTCCATGACTATCGGTATGGGATAGGATAGGGTTGATTCAACACACTACGTGAAAATGTGAATGCTCCCAGCCTACTATCGGCCAGATATCGCTTAGGGCACCTTCTTCCGACCAGAGCCGAGGATGAGTCACGTGGTTTACCGAGACCTTTCCCTACCCTGACGCCCACGTGACCTACCCTGGGCGCAAAGGATCCTGGGAATGTGCAACTCGTGAATGAACTAACCTGCAGAAAATTTATGTCATTGCTGTTGATGTCTGGAGCTGGATATCTGACGTCCTTGATAAATTTGTTGTGACGCATGGCAGCAAAAAAAGCAACATAATTTGTAATCACTGGACCTGGTCGAAACATTTTTAAATTTATCCCGGTCTATAGGCCAAAGCTAGAAAAACCTTTAGAAAAAACTAACGTCACAACGTAGCCAAGCTTTTCCTCTAAAAAACTTATGCACGAAAAGGATAACTCAGTCGACGTAGTTTGCATGCCATCGTTGTCACCTTTGACCTGACAGGGGGACCGTCCATTAAAAAGGGGAGGGGTGTAAGTTTTCCACACAGCAAAAGTTGCAGTGTAAAACACAGCAAAAGTTGCAGTGTAAAACACAGCAAAAGTTGCAGTGTAAAACACCAAAAGTTGCAGTGTAAAACACAGCAAAAGTTGCAGTGTAAAACACAGCAAAAGTTGCAGTGTAAAACACCCAAAGTTGCAGTGTAAAACACCAAAAGTTGCAGTGTAAAACACCAAAAGTTGCAGTGAAAAACACCAAAAGTTGCGGTGTAAAATTTTGTTCTTGTCGGCCACGGTAGTTACCAGTTTACGGTCGAATTAGGGAAAATTCCATTTTTTGTGAAAACGCATGGGCAGAACTAAATATTCAACCCATGTGAAGAAACAGTAGTTCGTCGGTTATAGAAGTGTGTGCCGTGTCATTTCTTCCCTGCGTGTTTTTGTGCCGTGCCAGCTTTTATTTATTTAGTAGTTAACAGTGGAGAATTGCTCTAGGGTGACCAATTAACGGTCACTTGGACCTTTGTCCTTGTAGTGCTCTACGTATAAGCGCACATAAACAAACACTTTCTGCAAAAGAATAGCGAAGTGGTCAACAACAAACCCCGGTAAAATGTCAGTGTGTAGCCCAATGTCGCATGCAGTAGCGCTGTGGTGCTAAATGAGGCTGGACCTGCTTTTTTCCCTCAGTAGAACGTGACATAATGGCCCAAGATGTTCCATAAAACTGTTGCAATAGATAACAAGCGTCTATGCCCCTCCAGACACAGCGGAACGTCGTGAAAACCCGAGCAAACTTTTCGCTACGGACGCAGGAAGCCATTTTAGCATTTTTGCATAAATTAATGTGCAACAGCGCCACAGTGCGACTTTTATAAACCTTTCTGCAGTTCGAAACGGTGACGTCACCTGATGCGACGATGATGACGATTAAAAAGTCGGCGACAACTGTCGCTGTACTTTTTCTCATTTATATCAAGGTGTTTGAAAGTTTCATACCTCACAACACCATGGATCATTGAGATAAGAAAGCCAGGTTTGATGCTAGCTATTGTTACAATTTCCTAGCATTCTTGTGATTTTAAAAAATCGACGAAATTTTGAGTATTGTATTATGTGAAAAACACAACATGCGTCCAAGTCCATGTTACCTTGCTGTCCCGTCATATCGGAAGATACTCTGCTGTGTCGCTGAATGCAAACTTTTTCCCATCCAGTGAATAAATAAAAGACACATATAAGGATCATATTCATGTTATTCTTTGTTGCTCACGACCATTGATTTTTGGCTGGTACACCTCGAAGTGTGGCCGTGTCACTAAACTGACCGTAAACTGGTCCTGCACGTAAACTGGTAACCTTGCGTTAGTAGTAATCTGCCGAACTGTGTCCCCAAAACACACAACAGATTTGGTGCGCCACCGAGAGCCGTTGATTGACCCACAGAATCTGCTTGGATATTAACGAACGAGAGCACTAAAGCTCCGTTTCTTGTAGTCATGCAACAGGTGTTAATGTTATGATGTTTGTGTCCACTCTTCTCCTTACACATCATTACATTGTATGTACTAATATGGTCACGCCGTGTGCTCTAATTACAAATTGCATAGTCTGTTTTGTGTTGGCACCCTGGAAAACCGGTATTACATCTTCACATTTCGTCGGTGTTGCCTGTCCCTTTTCGTGGTAAAGATTCACCCAGTCAACTTAACGTTTCTTTACACATTAAAAAAATCCATTTTTTTCTACCAAAATCATCAAAGAACATTGGATTCTTTTTACAATGATTTTCGTGTTGTCTTCAGACTCAAGTTTTGCAGCGAACGAGAGCCAGGTTTGTTCCCGTCATGCAATGGGTATTTCCGGTCAAATCGACTACTAGTACCTGTTCATAGGAATTAGAGGTGTCTGCGCTTGTCTAAGGTAAGGTTATGTTTGTATTGCGGGTGATCATGTTCATAAGTGTCTATCTTTCTTTAAGATACGTATAATTTGTCTATGTTTGCAAGTAGGATATGAGTGACTGGTAGATTGTTATAATGACCCTTTTCTATTTCTAAATAGCGTGCAGTGACCTATGTCCTTCTTGTCTTAGGTAAGGCCATGTTTGCATTGCTGATGATCATGTTGATAAGTTTCTGCGTTTCTTCAGTATACGTGACTTATTCAGACTTCATTTTCAACAGTATGTTTGCAAGTACAACAGGAGTGGCTTGTATATTGCTATAACGACCCTTTTCTATTTCTAAATAGTGTGCAGTGACCTATAGCTATAGCTATGTCCTGCTTGTCTAAGGTAAGGTTACGTTTGCATTGCTGGCGATCATATTCATAAGTGTCTGTCTTTCTTCAATATACGCTGCACTTGTTCAGAATCCATCTACAACAGTATTTTTGCAAGTAGGACGTGACTGGCTGGTAGGTTGTTTAGTTGTAGAGTTTAAACTTCATTTCTTGTGTTGGAACAAAGTTTAAACTCTACAATTATGAATTCTACCAACAAAGATGAGCTTTCATTCGAATTGCTGTTTAATTAATTGCTATTACGACCTTTTTCTATTTCTAAACAGCGTGCAGTGACCTATATATGCCCTGCTGAGCGTCAAACTACCCCTCCCACTTGACAACAAAGCAGTCCAAAACTGAAGAAGTTTTCGCCGCCATGTTACCTGCAAAGAACCTACTACTCTACACCTTTATTTCTGGGTGGTTTCTGGACATCAGCCTGTCAAAAGACGAGGCAATGGACATCGTCTTTCCACCAGTGGTCGAACCGGGCGACTCCGGGCTACCAGACGGCCACCTAATGCCGCTAGGCTGCCAGCGAGCGCCGGAAGGGCCGGTCCAAGAGTACGCGGAGCCTCTGAGCCCAGTAGACTTCTGGAACCGCCACGTTAAAGACTACGTACCCCTCGTGTACAGGCAAGCCATAGCCAAGGCCCCCGCCGTCACCAACTGGCAGAGTGATGAGTACATCAGGGAGACCTACGGGGACTTGGACGTCTTGGTGGAGACGAAGAACGAAGATAGAAAAGCTCGCCCACAGAGGATGTCCTTAGAAAAGTTCTTAGACAGCTACCGACGCGAGGACTGGTACGTGGTGTCCCTGCTGCCCGACCCCATGCGAGCAGAGATGCAGGTTCCTCGCTCCTTACTCTGCGGGACGTTCAGGAGGAGCATACTGGAGTCCAACCTCTGGCTGTCTGGCGGAGGCACCAGGTACGTTTTATTAATTTATTGAGATTGTAACTGTTACAATACATGTATGACAAAGGCAGCTGTTGCTGGTGTTGTGTCCCACACATAGAAACAAATACAGACTCACAATACTCATTTCCACCTGAGTGAAGTGAGGAAAGTCGTGTAAAGTGCCTTTCCCAAGGGCACAAAATCGGTGGCATGTCAGGACTCGAACTCTTGCTTCTAAGTCGAGCACTCTGCCGTTACGCCACACGACCACAGTTTTTTTAAGGCTCCACATGTAATGGAGGACATATAGTAGTGTGCAACTCTACTGACTGCTAATATCGTTGTCACCAAGTACAGTAGGGTCATTATCATTAGATAGCTATACACAATATTCATAGTTCATTTGAGATGCTCAAAGCTAAGGTAACAAGTCGGTGTGATGTAGCCAGCTGCCGCCGCGCCGCGTGCATGGGAAGCTGGTTTGTTACGTCGGCTATACAGATACAGATATCAGCCTCACATCAGAAAGTATAACTGGTCTTAAGGACAAGATAACGTTTATAATGTGTCAGATAACTACATGTGTTAAATGGAACCGAATCGTCCTGATCGGATGGGGACCGAATCGTCCAACAATCCATCCAAGTAACAGGTTGATACTGGTTTGTTCAAACCCACCAGGTCCCTCCTCCACTATGACGCCGACCACAACTTGCACTGCCTGGTCTCGGGGCGGAAGGATTTCATCATGGTCGAGGCGAAGTACGAGGATCTACTTGACGTGGACGTGAAGAGGCGGTACTCCGGCTCCAGTTTCTCTCACCTGGACATGGACAGGATCGACCTCCTGGCACACCCCCAGGTTTGTTTGTTTGTTTGTTTGTTTGTTTGTTATGTTTACCTTCGCAGAATGAAAACACGTTGTTTTTGCTCCGTTTCGTCTTCTGTTCCAAACACATGAGGTCAATGACTGGTGCTGTAGCAGACACCCTATGGTGTTGGGTTGCATTATGTAGCAAGTGGCAGGACAGAGTTGGAGGGTTTTTTTTATCATTTTCAGTCAATCAGACACCTTCCTCAGAGCTTCTCATAACAATATCCTATATTCTGCCAAGGAGGTTGAATGACTTTAAACTTGATTCCGCCTCCTTGATTCTGCCAACCTGACAAAATTATTTTCGGCACCACTGTGACAGGTTTCTGACGTCCCGTGGACCTGGGCCACACTGCTGGGCGGGGACTGTATCTTCATCCCGTCAGGCTATTTCCACCAGGTATAGTTTTAGACGACTACCTTTCATTATGTAGATTCTAGTTATGTTTTTGCTCATTTTCTTCCTCTTCTTCTTCTTCTTCTCCAGTGACCTCTGACCTGAACCAATGTTGAGTCTGTTGCCATGGTAACTAGTGTTGGGTTACATCACGTTGCAATTTCATAGCAGGAGGGATTTAGACTCCTGTCTGACCATGTAACATATGAATGTGTTTGAGTATGAATTAACAGAGCAGACCATATGTGAAGGCAAACATTATGCATTTTCATTGCAAATGTTACCTTTCTAGTTTTATACTCTGTTTCAATGTTTGTAATTTGAAATAAGCCTCCGGGAATGAATTTGCAATAAACTTCTCTTTCACCAGGTGCGGTCCTACGGCCGCAGCGTCGCCGCTACCATCATGTGGGACCCGGTGAACCAGTTCAACACCTCCGAGGACTGTACAGAGACCGACATCGACAAGTACACGGCGCTAAGCGAGGTGCGGGTGCAGTGGACCTACCGTAAAGGGGACCGCTCCATCGACATGGGCTTCATGGACGTGGAGAGCGTGAGGGGCGCGATTCTGGACCTGATGGAGGCGCGGAACACCACCGAACTCACCAAGGAACTCTTCTCCGTCTACTACGAGGAAAGCGTAGTGGACGAAGACAGAGACGGGAACATAGAAGAGGAAGACCTGAAGGTCATCGACAAGATGTTCGACATTCTGGACAAGGACAAGGTCGGGTACGTCACGCGTCAGGAGTTCCAGGACCTTGACATTGAACTTCTCAAGGACGTAGTCCGCATCCTGGACGAGCCGCACGGGCCGGTCACAGGAAGTGATGACGTCGGCAAGCGTGACGATGACGTCGGAACACGTGACGTCATCCCAGAAAAGGATGACGTCGGCACGCGTGACGTCGACACAGAAAATGGTGACGTCGGCACACGTGACGTCAACACAGAAAAGGATGACGTCGGCACGCGTGACGTCGACACAGAAAATGGTGACGTTAGCACACGTGATGACACACGTGACGAACTGTGACACCGTACAGGCCTACAAAATGCGTTATTCATAAATTTTGTGGTTGCAAAAGATTGTACATGGGCTCATTCGCATGGGGTGTAACTTATAGTGTCCATTTTCTTGCTACAAAGGTCAACATTATTGACCGGTTGTTAATGTAACTGATGACAACTGTCTTTGACATCGATCTTTGAACAAATAAAAAAAGTGTGTTCTTTTTCAGATTGACTTCTTTTTTCCCCGGAAAATTAGTCTTGCAGTCGCAGAAAAACAAAATCTCATTTGAAATACGTCGCGCTATACTGTCGTCGTCGTTATTATAAAAGAAGATAAGATAAGAGCGAAGGTGTCGTCCTCCCGCCAGACTAATCTTCATCGTGACTTGTGATATTCATGTTCTTCTGGTATATACATTTGTATATAGACTTTGAATCAGTTGTCTGTCTGCGACAACATCACAGTGGAAATGTACGAGCAAGCACAGCCTGTCTGTGCCCATAGGGTGGTGTCCGGGAACGGACAGACCAGCGGACCATTGTCCCAATATCGGGCTGTCCGTTACTGTAGCACGAGTGGACGTGGCTATAGCAACGACAATGCAGCACGGAACGAGTTTCACGAGTGTCTAGAATCGTCTTCAGACACGTACGAAGAACCGGAGGCCGTGAGAGTACAGATTGTGGTTAGTTACTGTTTTTTTCTTCTTTATCATCACTGCCATTATCATTATTTATTGTATACCATTTTTACTGTTTGTATGTGACTGTTGTGTTTTGTTGTGTAAAACAGGGCCCCATTGAAAAGAAGTGTAATCACAAATGAATCAGAAAAATTTATATTTCTTATGAAACTTGACAAACCATGTATCATTAGTTCTATATACTCGTACATCTATAAGGCCCTATAACTGCGTCAAGAAGCGAGAAGAAGTCGAACAATGTAAATAGTAGATCACATTAGTATGTATAGTTTAAGTGACATTGCTGTATCCTTTTCCTTGTCTATTCATGACCTGTACTTAGCTTGTTATAGTACAAACGCACAATATAATAAAGGTCTTTCATTCATTCAATCACTTAATGGGCCACCCTGTATAAAAATGACGGAAAATAAAATAAATTGTGGGGCTTTCCTCGCCTGTCCAGGGAACTCCGGTGGAGGAACCTACCTCGGGAGCGAAATCACTTCAGGAGGGGACTGAAGCCACAAAAACCGCCAGTCATGTCGATACGTCTTCGGACAGACTGCATCTGAACGCCCCTAGCGGCGGCCGTAGTCTCTGTAGTTTTCGGTGTTACGCGGCCGCCGGCATAACCTTTACTGTGGTGTCGGTAGCCCTTGTCACCATGGGGCTTCTCCTCATGGTGTCATTCAACAAAACGTCGCGACTGTCCACCACTGTCGGCGCCCTGAAACGCGACCTGGCCAACGAGCGAAACAAAACCGCTTACCTAAACCAGCGTCTTCTCGACCAGATGGGCAACAAGACGACGCCAGTGTCTTGTAAAGAAAGCAGAAAGTGGTCCGATACGTCTGTAGCTTGCCCCGAAGGATATACCAAGTTCCGAGGAGTCTGCTACCAGTCGCGCGACATCCGTACAACGTTCTGGGACGCTGACCTGGCCTGCTTTCAGGACGGCGGGACCCTCGCCATGCCCCGAGACGCCGACACCAACGCCTTCCTGGTCTCCCTCTCCCAGTCCGTCAGCAACGACACGGACTTCTGGCTCGGCCTGCACGATCAGCGCGAGGAGGGGAAGTTTGAGTGGGTGGACGGCACCGCCCTTTGCGGGTACGACTCCTGGGCTCCGGGACAGCCGAACAGCGTTCTGTCTATCGAAGATTGCGTTCTGGTCTCCGCCACTGTCACCGACTTGTGGCCGAATAAATGGTACGACGCTGCGTGCCATCGCCGCATGTTCTTCTTCTGCCAAGTCGTACCAGGACAGATGTAAGCATCTATAAAGCAGAAAAACCTACTAAGCTGAAATATAAACCTACGATACAAAATGGACAAACCTTGGCCGCTACACAATGGCTAGTGCTTGGGCAATCCCTCAGAAAATCTTAGAATCTACTACAAAATCGTTAAACAATGTTGAGGCAAAGGCCCCGAGAGGGCATAACAGTCTTCTGTCTATCGAAGATTGCGTTCTGGTCTCCCAGAATAAGTGGTACGACGCTGCTTGTCACCGACTTATGTTCTTCTTCTGCCAAGTCGTACCGGGACAAACCTAGGCCAGTTTATAAACATGACCAGTGCTTAAGCTTTCGCAATCCTCAAGTTTCAAGTTTTATTCATAAAAATCAGCCTTGCAGCCAGTGCACAAACAAGCTGAATAACACTGATTTTTTTACAACTGTGTAGTAAGTACAAATACAAATTAACATTACAATACGTGTACAGACACACAAACAAACACATTACAAAGCCACACATGGGCACTAAAGTAAAGTCCAGAGAGTCCTAAGAGAGTCTTGATGCAAAGACTCGTTGTACAGGCATATTGCCTTGTGTAGAGTTTTTCAGTCTTTCAATCCTCCACAAAATCGTAGAATGTACAAATGTATTAGAAAATCGTTAAGGTAGACAATAAAGTGAGCTTTCATGGTTTACGTAACTTCTTCCTTATCTTTTTTTTTTTGTTGCCAGGTTGGTGGATATCTATTGAATAATGCAAGGATATGTACAATTTTGCCTGATGGCTGATTATTATTCACCCTATTTGACTAGATCTTGCTGTTTTGATCCCGTCGTGTTAGTCTAGTGGAGACTAACCGATTCCTGACCAGGGGAACGCGCACGTATATGTCATGACGTAAGAATATTAGTCTGAAGACGGGGTGATACAAAGTTTAATGCATATATATATATATAGCTCTTCATGTACTGTGCTCAGTTGTGGTCACAATACACGCTTGGTACAAGTCGTATTGGACCCTCTCTGGCCAATTGATACTGCCTGTCTATGTTTTTGCTCAGTTTCTTCTTCTTCTTCTCCAAAAAGTGACCTCTGGCCTGAACCAATGTTGCCTGTTGCCATGGTAACTAGTGTTGGGTTACATCATGTTGCAATTTCGTAGCAGGGGGGATTTGGACTCCTGTCTGACCATATACATGTATATGAATGTGTATGAGTAAGAATTAACAGAGCAGACCATATGCGAAGGGAAACATTATGTATTTGCATTATGCAAATGTAACTTTCTGGTTTGATACTGTCTTATGCCACCCTAGGATCTGCTTGTAGATTACAATGAGACCACCCTGCTTACTGTATACATCGGGTAGTATATTATGTCATCGTGAGTGGACTATACCAACGTGTTGGTCAGAGGGGGGGTAATATCGTAACGTTAGAAGTTACCAACGAGAATACACCTGGAAATTAAAAGGAACGTTACTTTTGTTGTTGCTTAATGAAGCAAAAATTTAAATCTGCTTCGAATGAGTGTACATTTTCTTACTTAAGACACATGCATGTCGAAGTTAATGTATCATAAAATGCGGACGCCGCCGTGTCCCAAAAAATGGTTTGATCGTCCTGACTTAAGATATCGTCAAGTCAGCAAGTTACACATCTTCACCGACGCAACCGACGGCAAGAGACAAAGAGAGAGAGAGAGAGACAGACAGAGACAGAGAGAGAAAGACAGATAGACAGAATAAGAGAGAGTCGCTAAAATGCTCGGTCTCACCGTTCTTACCGCTTTGCTGGTGGCTGTATCCGTCCCGCCATCCTGGTGCTGTGACCACCCGGTGGGGTACGAGCCGTGGAACATCTCCCGGCGGGTCCAGGCGGCAGAGCTGGTGGTGTGGGGCCGCGTCCTGGCCACGCACGGCTTCAGGGTGGCCGGCTCAACCTCCTACACCGCAGAGGTACTGTTTTGTTGCTTCTTTTGTTGTGTGTTTTGTTTCTGACACTTCATGACAAGACATGGTGACGGTAACCTCCACCAGGCCTTTCTACGGGAATAATACGGATCGTAGAATTCGGCAAAAGGGAGAGTAAACTTGGCAAGGCTAGTCCGGCCGCCGAAGGTTGGTTCTTTCCCTCCGCGGCCAGTCAAACCCACAAGGCGGCCAAACTCCCCCGGCAAATATTCTCCTATATATAGCCAGCGTAGGTAGTCTGGTAGAGACTATGGTGACGGTACACACAAGTTTTTCAAAACTTACTCTATGCCCTTACTCTATGCCGTCACCAACGTAGAGGAGAAATACAGAACAGGCCAATACTCATTTTCGTGTTGAAGTCGTGTCTTTCTAGAGGCCACAAGATCGTTGGTATGGCAGGACTCGAACCCGGTTCCGAGTCGAGCACGCCACACAACACTATTCTCCACCAGACTCATTTGCAGGCTTAATGAATAGTAGAAATCGGCCTAAGATTCAGCCAGAAAGGTCCGTTTGCCTGTGCAGGCAAACTGAACCCACTACTGCCGGTCAACTCCCCTGACCAACTATATTCTTTTAGGCCGATTTCTACCATTTATTCAGCCTGCAAAGAAGTCTGGTGGAGACTAACACTAACACGGCCCCATGTATACTAATTTTCAGGTACAGTTTGAATGCCAGGTGAAGGGGGACGCCGAGGCCCTGGCGGAGGCTGGCACGTTCAACGTCACGGACATGGGCCTGGTCAACCCGGCGCACTGCGTCGCCAACCACGTCGACGTCGGCGCGTACTACTTCTTCTTCCTGACGTACAACGACGCCGAGGTCTGTTTTTTCTTTTTTTTCAACCTTTATTTAGCCCTGAAAATAACAGTTTAACAGTTTATTATTCATTAAAAAAAAGAGCCTCGCAGCCTGTACAAAAACATGCTGAATAACACTGATTTTTTACAGTTACTTGTCTGGCAAATTTAACATTGCAATACATGTACAAACACACGAACAAAAACATTACAAAAAGCCTCACATGGGCACTAAAGTAAAGACCACAGAGTCCTAAGAGAGTCTTGATGCAAACACTCGTTGTACAGGCATATTACCTTGTGTAAGAAAGAGTTTTAAGAAAATGTACATTATGTAACAGTACCACTATTCGACCTGAGCCGCTTTTCAAGAGTTCAAGGGGAGGTGGGTCAGGGGTCTTTTACAAATGCTTCGGTTCAGTTACAATATTAAATCAGTCATAGAAATACAATACAAATATATACAAGTCCATACAAAATTTAAACATTATCTCGATTCATATCTTATCAGTTTCAACATCCAAGTTTCATTTGTGCGGGGTCGTGTGGCGTAACGGCAGAGTGCTCGACTCGGAATCAAGAGGTCCCGGGTTCGAGTCCTGACATGTCACCGATCTTGTGCCCTTTTTTTGGGAAAGGCACTTTACACGACTTTTCTCACTTAACTCAAGTGAAATTGAGTATTGTCCTGTCCTGTATTTGTCCTCTGCGTTGGCGAGGGCATAAAATAAGTTGATATAACTTGAGTGTGCCGTCGCCATGTCGAGCCATGAAATGTTGGAATAAAAAAAAAGTTTCATTTCACAAATCATAGTCCTTCTGTCAGGTTCTGACGCCGCAGGACGTCAACCAGCAGTCTGCGGTCGTGCCGGACTGCGAGGAGAATCGGCAGGCGTTCTTCCGCTGCTGCGGCTTCTACACGACCTTCTGCCGACCGGAGGGCGGAGCCGACGTGTGCCCGACAACCGCCGGACAACCGAACCCCGACAAACCAACCGAAGGCGGCGTCCTCCAGACCACAACGCCCTACATCTCCGGCGCCACAAGTCTAGGAATCACCGCCATTCTACTGTTTGTAGTAGTTGCCTTAGTGGTAGAATTCGTTCCTTTCTAACGGCCGGTTGAACATAGCCTCTACCAGGCTTCGGGAGGCAGCTGGAAAGAGTAGAAATTGGCCAAATAGAAACATGCCGAGGGAGAAATTGGCCAAATAGAGATAACATGCCGAGGGGGTTGGTCTGCTATAGAGTACATTATACTTTGCCGCATGGGTGCATGTTATCTCTCTATTTAGCCAATTTTTCCAGCCGCTTCTCGAAGCCTGGCAGAGGCTAGTTTGCACATTCGTTGCACGATGATCGCAAACAGGGCATTAATCGGATAGTCGTGCATGTGTCCTATACAAAATTTCAGCCGCCTTGTTTCGGAAAAGGCTGTCTTATTAGACTCTTGTCGGTGGCTGGTTCTGTCACAGCCTGCCTGAAAATTCTACCACATCAAAACCAAATCAGACGACGACTTACTAGCCTCTACCAGGCTTGGGAAGGCGGCTGGAAAGAGTAGAAATCGGCCAAATAGAGAGATAAGCATGCCAAGGGAGTTTGTCCGTTGTATAAATGTTCTCTCACCGGACAAACTCCTTTGCCATGCTTATCTCTCTATTTGGCCGATTTCTACTCTTTCCAGCCGCCTCCCCAAGCCTGGTAGAGGCTAACGACTTATAACAAATGTGACCGTACCGTAACCCTCAGTACCAACAGTCGAAGGTATTTTTGTCATAATAAGCGAATTGTACTTACACAACATTCTGAAACAGTAATTTGAACCGACCTCTCGAACAGTCAACACTTTTCTCTAACTTTATACTATTTACTAAACTGTTTTACTCCGTACCGTACCGTACCGTACCCTTACTTAATTTCGTTTAGTAAATATCGTCCTGATTTCAACCCAGACATGACCAACATTCCGTTACTACGTATAAAACCTCCAACAACAAAACTTCCAAGTCACAGTCTAATTCCACAGTTTGATTGTACATGTACTTTGAACAAATTTTGGACACTTCTTTGCCTTCATATCATACCAAAAACTGGGGGGGGGGGGGTCTTCATGGTCTTTGTGAGCTTTTATGTGCTATTTTCTGACTGCATAGCCGGTCTGGTTGAAATATCACCGAACTGGGTTAATCAGAAAACAGCCGAAGACCACCAAACCCCCAGTTCTACATGTATAAGCCTGCTACGGAGGCTAGACACTTCTGCCCTTGTTTCGTATGCACCTTTGGTATGACCCAGGCAGGGTTTAATCGTGTATCCTCCACAGTCCAAACAGTATACACCCTACCCCCTATGTCAGTGCTCCAGTCCTTTTCATGTTTAAAGTTAAAACTTTTGATCCAACACAAAAAATTATCTCACCTAGAGCTTTCGACCAGTCACTCTGGTCTTCCTCAGTAGACTGACCCAGTGAAGCTTGTCACGTGACTTCTTTGAAGTGTGACGTACTGGTCGAAAGCTCTAGGTGAATTTTTTGTGTTGGACCAAAAGTTTTAACTTTAAACATGTAACTACCAACACAGATGAACTTTCATGATAGTACAGAATGTACAAGTCCTTTTCATGTACACACATCTGTTTATGTTAATACATGTACTTTAAACCAGCACAGGAGACTGTATATTTGAGGAACTACGAGTTTATTGTATATTAAGAAATACACATACAGCCATAAACGAAGGGACCCTCTGTCTGTGGGCATAAACACACCTCTAACATGAATCGGACAAAACAAAATCAAATCTCTGGAAGAATTCGCGAATTTAGACATTGCCTGGACAGTCGTTCCTGAAAACTACAGATACAGGTGAAGTTGTGCATCTTCGAAAGCAACATCTGCAGACCTTACATGCAGAAAATGGACAAATTGTTGTACCACCTGTATACTCACTGTTACCAGATACAGTGTTCCATTCTGTGTAGGCCTTCTGTGCTACACAAAAACTCATTTCCTTCCAAGGCGAAGCTACACTGTATGTGTTACCATTATCATTCACATATTATGGTATTTGTCAAAAATGTTGGGACAGGTTTTGGGCATCTTTTGGAACCACTGTTGATTCAGTCAGCAATAATGCCTTCATAGCATGCCTGGGGGCAACAAGCCTACATGTAGCTAGGTAGCAATGCAAGATCTGAATTTCCCAGATTTTACATGAAGTACATTTCTAGATCATACATATCTAGTCTAATAAAGCAAAATTCATAAAACTGGCAAGCAGACTATTTCTACATTCAGCTTGAGAGAATTGAAATTGTCTTGGTGTGAAGGTTTGAAATTCTCGACAGCAGGTGCCATTTTCGTATTCCTCTTACACATTATTTTATATAGACAAAAGAAATTTAAGTCAAATCTTATCACTGTATGATACACAAGGGAATTACGCTCACTAGAAAAAGCATGATTACAACTACCAGTATTCATACAACACTATTTATACCAACAGTCGGTGTGGTGCGTTCTCTATCTTACCCGGAGCACACAGAACAAAGGCTACTTCTTCAGAGAGATTTTGGGGGGTACGGGGAGGGGGGTATACAAGAAATAAGGGGGTATGGGTATGACGAATCAAAGTATAGGTAACGGGGAAGGTGTTGACTTTTAAATGATTCAAACAAAAATGTAAAAGGTGTAAAGGGTTGGGAGTATTTGTGTATTTTTTTCATCCCTCCCTCTCAATAATATAAATGAAACTGCCCTGTGTGTGCTCTCACCCCTGTAAGGAACATCAAGTCCTCTCAACTGCGAGTTTTCAACTCTTTTTTCCCCACAACAAAATTGTGCATTTTTAAACCATTCACATCTCCAATACCACGTCGATCAAAAACTGTCATTTACAATGCAAAATTTCCCGCTATGTGTTAAATGGGGTACATATACAATCATGATATAGAAGGTACATCAACTTTTGTATCTAATTATTGACTCATTGTTAGTTTTTTTTGTCTATCGTCTTTTTTGTTGTCTGGTCAGGATTCAATATGAACAAGCAATGTATTTAGATGTAATCATAAATATACTATTCCTTACACTGCCACCACTTAGATCACACGTACACATACATGATATGCTGAAGTGTTGTTTGCATTTGCTGCACATTTTAGCATAAGAATAGGAAATATTTCTGCAGAAGTTGATCAGAAGTGTCCAACATGTTTGTCACCCACACTCCTTCAACTTGTCTTCTTTACCGTTTCTTTTGGGAAGCCTCTTGAAAGAATGGTTACCGCCTTTTTCTGCACGAAATCTGCACAAACAGAATTCATTTAAAACCAGGTGCAGCATGACAAGTCTTCAGAAATTGTTGTTCAATTTCAAGAGAGAAGTTTGAAAACCCTTTTCTAGAAATTCCGACCATATCACTCTAATTCTTTGTGTGCCTTCTGATTTTCCAAAGAAGTATTACAAAGGCCTTACTTTCCTTTCATTTTTTCAACAAACATTTGCAAACTTTCGTCAAAGTCTATCCAGGCTGTGCATGAATTCTGTTGTGAACTCTCTGGCAGAAGCGGCACCTGTATTAAAGTGTTTAGGTCTAGCCCACAGGGCTCGAGATAGGGTTAGCCTCACAATATATACTTCTGGTAACTTCACTGTCAACTAACAATTACTGTGTGGGGTGCAAGACAAGCCCAAGTTCCTGTGAGCTTGGGAAAGATTGACAGGTCAAAATGGACCGTTTCTTAACTGACACGCGTGTCTTCCTGGTCATGCAATTCTTAACAATGAGCTTCAATGTTCTAAAAGTTGTGCCTTCGTTATTCAAGCCAGTTATAGTGCTATGGGCAGTTGTTGTTTTCTTGTCTTGGTTGAACATGCTTTTGCAGTGTTTCACTTGATAACTCAGCAACTCTTTGTACAATTGTGTGTGCAAGTGGTGGCCTTAGTGCAGTATCAAAAAAAAAATGTTCAGTTCCCCTCATTGGACCTGACAAAACCCCAAGTAATTACAAACTATCCACTGACCTGACCCCATTTCTCCTGTGGACACGCATGTCAAAGGGTAAGGGTGAAAGGGTAAGGGTCATAGGGCAGAGGACATGCCATCCACAGGCGAGAAAAGGGTTCAGGTTTTTTGTTTTTTTCCTGACGAGACTTAACAGGCACAGCCCTCGTTCTTTTGTTTTGCGTCGTTCGTGAGCTTGATCTGATCGGGAAACTCGTTGTAGAGTTCCACTTCCGTCTCCTGGGCGAGGGCGTTCTTGGCGATGGTCTGGAATGCCTGCTCCACGTTGATGGCTTCCTTCGCGCTCACCTCGAAGTACGGGATGTCGTTCTTACTGGAGGCCCAGCCTGACGCCCGCTTGGTCGAGACCTGCAAGGAACGGCAAATCAGCGTATTACATACCGTAAATTGTGAAAATTTCGTGGTGGTTTTATATTTTTTTTATTTTTGCAGTGACTTCACCCCCACAAATTCACGACAGTCACTGCCAATGTGTCTTTTTGTGACTACGGTAGTAAAGAATTGTTTCCATTCCAAGTTTAACACCAACATGCACCCACAGTCATTTAAATACTTTTCGACACAAGCAACCAACACACAGACAAACAAACACAAAATGCACCTTGGGTTAATATCTTTAATATGTATGCCTGCCTTAAAGCAGACATTCTAATGAAGTGCTATGCGAAATACATTACGGGTTTCGCACAGGTGCAGTACGTTCTGCCGTCGTGCTGTAATATCGAGTAGTACTCACTGCTCTGTTGTCCAAGTCGACCTTGTTGCCGAGCAACACGAAGGGGAAGTTCTCGGGGTCCCTGGGGCTGGCCTGGATCAGGAACTCGTCTCGCCAAGAGTCCAGCGACTTGAACGTGTTGGGCATGGTCACGTCGTACACAAGCACGCAGCAGTCAGCTCCTCGGTAGAACGCCACACCCAGGCTCTGGAACCTCTCCTGTCCTGCTGTGTCCCAGATCTGGTGTTAGAGAGAGAGGAACAAGGGAGAATTAATGCTGACATTGGGCATGGTCACGTCGTACACAAGCACGCAGCAGTCAGCTCCTCGGTAGAACGCCACACCCAGGCTCTGGAACCTCTCCTGGCCTGCTGTGTCCCAGATCTGATGTTAGAGAGAGAGAGGAACAGGGAAGAATTAATGCTGACATTTGCTGGCAAATGTGGGATATTTCCCTACATCTCTTTCCGAAACATTTTTAAGATCACGTTGTGGCAGTGTCCCATTTCTGGCAGAGTAGACAGGCATGGGTAAAAGTAAAGGAGTTATTTGTCAGCAAATACTAGATATTTCCCTACCAACTTTTCAGTTTCGGACACATTTTAAAGACCACATCTCATGGTGGCTGTGTCTGCTGGGAGATTAAAAGGCAGACACTCAACAACATAGATGGTAATAAGGATGCTTTCAAGTTTCATGGTCACTGATGGTAAACGAAACTCCCCTACATTGTACAGAAAAGTTACTTATTCATAAAAAAGGAATATACAATAAAGTAGTACATGTACAAGCTCAATTTATGAAATGGAAAAACACATGTAAAAGGAACTGTACAGTAAATGTACAGCTACTAGTGCTAGTTTCATTTACAAAAGGGCCCCAATGACAGAGTAGGTATTCTGCAGGAGCCAGGCAGTCTGCGACCTGTGTACAGCAGCACTTCGATTTGTACCTAATTTATGCATGGTCATTTCCACAGCCTTTTAGGATGGGCTTACAGTAACTACTTCTCCTGGTAATGGGGAAGGACAGTAAGATAAAACAACCAGCAATAAATGATGTGGCCTGGGTGTGGAGGGGAATGTTAAAAAGTACTTTTGTGTATTGGAGTCTGTCTAAAGGGTAAGGTTTGGATCTTGGTACGGTTTCTAGCCAATATGTTTTCTGTATTTCCACATATATTTTGTAAACATATACGAGTAATTGTGTTCAGTGTTCTAATTGTCATGTGACTGATACAAATTACATAATGAACACAAATGTGAAGTGCTATGTACCGTCACCCATTTTATCCTACACTACTGCATCATAGTCTTTTGAGACGGATTAAAAGATTGAGAGAGAGAGAGAGAGAGAGAGACTGCCCCACTCAGATATTCAATGCACACATGGTGTGTGATTTTATCATTGCAGAGAAAATGTGTAAGCATAATAGTTACCTGCATGGTTACCAGTCTGTCGTCCACCATGACTTTTGTGAGGAAGCTTCATTTTTTGCAAACTTTATTTTACACGACTACGGTACTGCTTTGGATAGATTTTAATGCAAACACGATGTGTGATTTAATCATTGCATGTAGAAAATGTAGCTTTACCTGCATGGTTACCAGTCTGTCGTCCACCATGACTTCTTTTGTGAGGAAGTCTGCGCCAATGGTGGCCTTGTACTGGTTACTAAACTTCTTGTTCACATACTGGTTCATCAGGGAAGTCTTGCCAACACTGAGGATCAACAAGAAAGAATTAACTTACAACCATGAAATTATAAATTATAAATTGCCTACACAAACCCACAGCTCAGCTACCCAGGACATTATTTTATATTTCCATACTGGTTCATCAAGGATATCTTGCCCACAATGAGATTCAACGAGAAAGTATAATGAGTTACAACGAAGAAATCTGAGACTTCGGACTTCCAAAATTCCCGCATGTGAAGCCCTGGCTCCTGGTCAGATTCAGAGATCTTCATGTTCACCCCATTTTCTGAGTCTGACCTTTTGATTTCCTGTCATTCTGCCTGTCAATTTCCCCCACCCATATGTATGTACTGTCAACCTACTCTGGAAAGATACACAAACCCACAGCTCAGCCATCCAAAACATTTCACTCAAAACATTACACAAAACAGTACTCCAAAGTAATTATAATAATCCTCTTGTGCATTGGTAGACTACCAGTTTGGTGAAACTGAAACTAAGGAAGTGAAACCTTTCTACATAGGTTTTGTATACTGTATATTCTGTTTTAAAAAATGACATTGCCAGATATGATTTTAGATACACAACTTACCCACTGTCTCCGAGGATGATGACTTTCAACAAAACCTTTTTCCTTGATGACATGATTGCAAAATTCTTTTAGATTCTTCCAACCTGGAAAAAAATATACAAAAATCTGTCAATCTTCATTTGACTTCACATGCGGTTAAACCTAAAACTCCACGGGGAATTTTCATAAATTTTTTATAGCTTTGACAGTGTGACAAATGCTATCAAAACAGAAGATCACTTACATGTAGAATGAAACTAGAATAAACACAAAATCAGGCAACTTCTAGTATCTGAATCAGATCAGAATCATCTTTGATCTATGTTTCTTTTTTTGTCTTCATGTACATTCACACATGCTCCTGCATTATCAGAGAGCACATGATAGCAGAGGTAATGCGTAATGTAACCAACAACTCAAGTGTCAACACATCTATTGGCCACTACAAAGAGATCTGTACACAATCAATACAGAATACCATGTGACTGACAGCAGATGAAAAATCGCTAAAAAGTATGTTATGTTGGTTACTTGGCTCATACATGTAGTTCTGGGGGGATAATTTAGAGTAAATTTAGCAATGGCATGGATTTTGTACTTCTTTTCCCTTTTTATTTTTAGTGATGTAATTTCAGGAAAATCTTCAAGCAATAACTTCGGAATAAGACACTATTCTTCTCACTTAAATCCAACATCTAGTCAAACGATTCTTTTTAAGCTATTTAAAATGTGTATTTTGGAGGCCAAACAAAAGTCTTGGGACTACAAACTTCTAAGTTTTAGCCATTCCATCTTTTGTTCCAGTCACCACAAAGTAAAATTTCTATCTATCATCTATCCATTTTCTCATCATACTTCTGTTCCCACGTTATCACAGTTGTGTAATCTATCTCATGCTCATACACGTGCACTTTGCACACACTTTTTCATGGGGTCAAATTCCAACCTAGCTAAAATCATGTCAGTGACCAGGAGGCTAAGGGTTAACGGCCAGAAGTGACCAACAAGAACACTCAGGACTGATAAAATCTGGTCAACGTGGACAGGAGGTCACTAAAGACAGATCACAGGATTTTTAGCGCTTGCATCAATGGAATAAATTATCTAAGTGACTACGAAAAGTGGTCTCATAGGCCAGGTGATCCTTTTTAGATCTATTCTAAAGCAGTACTAAAGGTGGCCACTTGTACTTTAAGTTTATAAAGAACTGGGGCAAGGGGGAGGGGGGTGGACAGAGACAACCACTTCCTGGCACTTCCTTGCCCCAGAGTGCAGAAGTTTGTGGAAGTGTAGAAGAAGTGATTCATGGTCACAGAGAATACCTCCCACTCACATGGGCATGCACCAAGGTGGTATATACATGGACATCTACACAGAACACAGGATGTAAGCATCAGCAGATGTCTTCAATTATAAACTTCCTGACCATTTTAAACATTTTGTAAGTGACAAATTATTGGTATATGTACATCACTGATATCTGTCTATCTATCTCAATGGGCGTTTCAACTTAATACACACGAGAATGGGGTTTCTAGAAATCATATGATTAAGCATGACGTTTATCTTTTTGTAGAGAAAAATTATCACCTGTGCCAAAAATGCGATGTGTGAAAGATATGCCAGAAATTACACGATTTAGACCAGCAAAACAGTACTGTAGGGAGGTGAATTGTGTATGTCTAGGAACGTTGTAGTTCCTGCACCTAGAAAGACGGAGAAATTAAAGAAAAACTGCCCACAAAAAAATCAATTCGCAAGAGAGAACAGGGAGTGCCCATAGCTTAGGTCTGACTGTAAAATTATAATTTTTCACAGCACACATCGCAAGTACAGCCTTTTAGGCCAGAGTTCTACCCAACATAGACACATAGATCGTTTTAACTGCGACGTACAAGAAGGTAGACATGTCAAGATTATGATTTATGCATGTTAGAGGCGACAAGTGCGGAAAAGTCTCAACACCGGTGTGACATACAAGTGTTGACTCAAGGCCTCTACTCACGGGGACCGTCACGTGAGCCGCACAAATAACCCGAATTCCCGCCCAAAACAGCGCGTTACGGACAAAACTCTCGTCAGAATATCTTCAGCGGATGTCATACTCACCTAAAATCGCCTGACAGTCTGCCTAATTGTCGATTTTTCGAGCTAAAAACCACTTTTCGCGGAGAGGTCCCAGTTTTCTCGTCTCGAACAAAATGGCGCAACACTGAGTCGAGATCATATGACTAAAGATGACGTAAGAACTACCCAGCATGCAACACAGCCGTCAACTTTGACCTCCAGCGGGAGCAAAATATCAGATCGACAGATGTTGGTAAAAACACGTGGATTTTGACGTCTGCACTTGTAACTTGGTTTTTGCCGCCTTTTGTCGGACTATCGTGATCCTTTGGCTTTCTGGAATGTCTGAGGAAGCGGAGGGTTTGATAGAAGATGCAGAAAATCGCAGGAGACGGAGGGTTGGACTGATTGCAGCGGGTTTAGTGGGGGGTGCGGCGGTAGCGATTACTGCCGTCGCGGCCCCGTTCGTACTACCTGCCATGAGAAAGATCTGTTTACCGTACGTGCCTGCCACGCAGGAGCAAGTAGGGAACGTTTTCAAACTCTTAGAGGGACGGTCTGGCACGCTGGTGGACCTCGGGAGCGGGGACGGAAGGATCGTAAGTGGATAATTTTGTCTCGGCCTAAAACACCAAAGCGAAAGACTTGAAAGAGAACGTGCTGTAGTGCACGTAATACACTGACAGCATGTCGGCTGGATTGCATCATAATTTTGTTCAGCTGTCGCCAGAATAATGTCATGCCAACATGGACGGAAGATCTATAGGATATAGACTTTAGACAAACATCGCTGATCTCTACTGAAAGTAAATTAAGCTGAATTGTAATTTGTACTATGCACGAGTTTCACGAGTAATTAGGATAAATTATGCAAATGAAAAACAACTTTGCATATCAATTTGCATATGTTTTAAGATGTTGCAATAATGCTTCAGTGGTAACTTATGGGTATGTCACCACATTTCCTGTGTCTGACCTTTTGACCTGTCATTCTCTCTGTCAATCTTTCTCCAACCCACGTGCTGTCAACCTATCCTGTCAGTACAAACATACACACAAACCCACAGCTCAGCCACCCAAAACAATACTTCAAGATGTAAAGAATCTATGTTTTGTATTGATGCTATCACCTCATTTCCTGTGTCTGACCTTTAGACCTGTCATTCTCCCTGTCAATCTTCCCCACCCATGTACTGTCAACCTATCCTGTCAGTACAAACATACACACAAACCCACAGCTCAGCGACCCAAAACAATACTTCCATACCCAGAAGTAAATTTTAAAGAAGATAAGTTTTTATGTTGATGCTAATCAAACATTATTTTTCTCATTAATATCAGGTTATAGCTGCAGCGAAGCAGGGTTTCCATGCAGTTGGCTATGAGCTGAACCCATGGCTAGTCTGGTACTCCAGACTCAGTGCAATAAGACATGGTGTGTTTGGGAAGGCAAGATTCTACAGGAGAGATCTCTTTAAGGTACCTTATTTTAAAACATCAAGTATTGCTGTAGCCTGGATGCCAGACTATTTCCAGGTCCTTAGCCACAGGCTAGCTTCGAGGGCCAAAACATTTTAGCCTGGATACCAGGCTGTTTTTAGGGCCTACACAAGCCAGCTCCTCATCTCCAGGTCCAACATGCTAGCCTGGATACCAGACTGTTTCCAGGGCTTACACAGGTCAACGACAGAAGCTCCTTGCACAGGTCAACTCCTGATCAGCGGTAGGACCAACATGCTCCTTTTCTGGTTCTGGATAAGTAGGGGCATAATATACCCCAAAGGGCACAGCCAAAGAGATTGGCATTGCCTATCGCATGCTATGGGTCTGGCATCTAGGATAACTAAGCTGTAGCTGAATTCTATTTGCTATTTTAATGCAAGTTGTTTGTGAACAATCCTTCTAAATGACTTTGTAAAATCATGGAGCTACCTCCATGGTAAAATAAAGTCCTGATATCTTATCCTGATCAGATCAGACATCCTGACACCGTTATGTTGTATGTACCTGTTTTCAGGCCAACTTTGCAGAGTTAGACAATGTGGTCGTCTTTGGTGTGCCTCAACTGGTGAGTCATGTTGATCTGTTGTCATAGCAATACCTAATTTAGGTCAAAGGTCATTTCTAACAATTTCTGATCAGAACAATGAAGCTTTAATTGTGGATTCCTAACTTTGATTTTTGTTCTTTTTTAGTACATCTTTAGAAATTACATACTAGTAAGCCAGCAAAAATACTTCTTCCAGATTTGTAAAAGGTGTCTGCATTTATAAAACTTTTTTTTTTTCGTCTATGAACCAGATGCCTTTACTTGAAGAGAAGCTGTCCAAAGAGTTACAGAGAAGTGCAAAGGTGGTGGCCTGCAGGTTTAGCTTTCCGACATGGCTGCCTTCACAGACTATAGAAGCCGGTGTGGACACGGTGTGGTCGTACGAAGCAAAGGACATTGTCATGAGATATCTGTGGGAGGACTGATGAAAATGTAGTTGTCAGTTAGTAGAACATACATCAATCAGCGACTGTTTTTGAAAGGTAGAAATATGTACCTCCAAATTTTCAATGTTGACTGTACATCTTGTTCATGAAGTGACCTAGTCTCGCGAGAACACAAGAGGAAGGAGACAGGGGAGGCCAGAAGACCCGGACAAGTCTCGACCTAGTCTTGTGTTCTCGTGAGACTAGGAAAAGATAGGTCACTCCATGAACAAGATGTACAATCGACATTGAAAATTTGGAGGTACATGTTTTTACCTTTCTAAACAGTCACTGATTGATGAATGTTCTACTAACTGTTAATCATACGTGACTTATGAACCTCCTCAACCGCAGTCATCAAAGTTGTCAATAAGCAGCTTCAAGGTTCCAACTGAGCATGCTCAAGGTCAAAGGTGAAGGATCTGGATGAATACTGGACAACACTGGGAAGTATTTTGGGGTTTTCGTGACTTTCGTGAAGTTCACCCCATTTCCTGTGTCTGAACTTTTGATCTGTCACTCTGTTTGTCAATCTGCCCCCACAGATGTGCTGTCAACCTACTCTGTCCGGACAAACAGACACACAAACCCACATTAGTCTTATAATGCATCGCGCCATGCATGTTTTAACCTGGCCTTGTTCTGTTTATTGTTATATAGGATGACTGTATACTATCAATATTTTTATTGTATTGGTAAGTTTTGTATTTAGCAATGTTTTAGTTCAGAGTACTTACAATAAAGTATTCAAATATACTGAATGCAATAAAGAACACGGAGGTATAATAGTGAGTGTATTTATTTTTGATCCATTGAATGGTAATGTCAACTTCCAAGCATGGTTTGGCCATTTCATCTGTCTATTTTCCTGAACACAATAGATGTTGTTGTGGTCCCAGTTTTTCCTCCAAACATGAACGTTGGGTGTCGTATTTCATCAACTGACTCGAAACCTGGAACAAAGGAAAAAAGTTTGAAATGTACATGAATACAACCATCATCATCAATATAACTTGTAAGTGATATTAGGCCGGTTTACTGCTTAGCACTCAGCATCTATGAGAAAGAGTGTGGCAAGGTCAAACACACAACACTGCCAGCGGACTAGCCCCCTGCTGTAGTGCTTGCACAACTGTGTGGCCCAATGGCTTAGTGCCTATGATCTCCATTTCTGTAACAGAAATGGACATAGTCACCACCCCTATGCCCTGCACACAGAGTGGAATGGGACCTTTTATGGGGGCCTGCAAGCCCTTTTCCGTAGAGCATAATCGGCCGTTTTAATTCTACGTAGAGCAAAGACGGACCGCTCTTTGCATTTTGCGTAGAGCGTATTCGCCAATTTAATTCTACGTAATGAGCTGTAGCCACTTTATCATAAAGTGTGATCGAGAGGTTTCCGAATTCAGCGTAGAGCATTGTCGGGACTCCACCCTCACCCCCCTTGCAGGCCCTCTTTTATTTTGCACCTGATGAGAAGTGTTCCAAAAGCTCGTCCTTGGTCCAGTTACACGATGTGATAACCAGGAGTCCGCTGTCCCTCAGCAGTTTGTGCACATGACTGACGTACGTCTGTCTCTTCTGCGCTGCGTCGTCAGGACTCAGGCTGATGGCATCGTAGGTACCCTTGTCTGTGCAGACGTCAAACCTGTCCACTGAGAAGATCGGGTCGTCTGTGCTCAGGATATCAGCTCTCTGGAACAAAACGTTGGGAGATGTTTATTAATAATGTAATATTTAACTATTTAAGACCATACGCCAAAAAACAGTTACTCAAGCAACTGGATATGATTTTGGAAACGGTCAGACGTTTCAGCTAGTATCCACTAGCTTTCGTCAGTGACTGAGAGACCAGAGGGGAAATGCAGGTTTATAACCTTCATCGACGTATATATACATCTAGAGTCATGAGAGAGATGAACATAGCTTTAAGATGTTGTTCTTCTATGATTTTAATTACACATCACAGATCACTGAGATTTCAGACTTCAGGGAAGAATTTGGGGGGGGGGGTTGTGACATTCAGGCTCACCCATTTCCAGTGTCTGACCTGTGCTATCTAGAACAAAAGGTAGGGAGATGTTGAAGATACAATTTAAATTTTTTCATTGCAATGAATTGAGCAATGGGAGGGATGATCCTACCTTCAAAAGGTTGTTATCCGATAATTAAAAAACAAAATGAGAAATTTAAGACTACTGGGAGGAATTAGGGGTTTACGCGACCACAAATTTCATACTTTTCCAGTGTAAGACCTTTTGACCTGTCATTCTGCCTGTCAATCTTCCCCATCCACTTGCTGTAAACCTTCTCTGTACAGACAAACAGACACACAAACTCACGGCACAGCCACCCAAAGCATTACTTTGAGAGTTGATTTCAGGTAGGATTAACTTATATAGGTTTACTAGTATCTGGAGAATCTACTTGAAGATTAAGGTACCAAACTATTCAAGATTATTGCAAAATTTGGGAAAATTGATTACCTGGAACGTAATGTTGACATTTTCTGATTCAGCAATGTTGACTGCCAGGTCAACAGAGGGTTGGGAATAGTCCATTCCTGTCAGGGAGGTAAAACCCTCTTTTGCCTGGAAAAATGACAAGAAATAAAGAAAAATACATGTATTATTGTAAAACTATGTTTAGAATATACTGGAACAAAGAAAAGACATTCTGGGTAAAAAGGATGCCACAAAACATGTAGGATTTATGTAGAGAGTACATGAAGGAAGTCTTTGAACTTTTTAGTAACTGCAGGAACACAACGCTGAGTAAGCTGTAGCCTGGGTGCCAGACTGTTTCCAGGGCCTACACAGGCCAGCTCTTCAGCTCCAGGCCCAACATCAACATGCCCCCAAGGAAATCATACCACAGCCCCCTCAGTTAGACCCTGATCCATGCTAGGCCCATAGCACTGTGTGCAGGATAACTTGGGCCTATTGTATGTACTATGGGTCTGGCATCCAGGCTATGCTAGGCCCAGAGTTAGCCATCATGGATCATTCTTTGGGGGCATGTTGGCCCTGGAGGTGAAGAGCTGGCCTGTGTAGGCGTCTGGCATCAGTCTGGCACCCAGGCTTACTGAAGAGGACTGTGGTATCATTTCCTTGGGGGCATGTTGGCCTTGGAGCTGAAGAGCTGGCCTGTGTAGGCGTCTGGCATCCAGGCCAATGTTAGCTGTTCTATCTACTCCATCATATAAGTCATGATTACCATTTCCACCAGCATGGCCCCGTTCCCAGAGCCAATGTCCAGTATTCTGCTGTCTGTCTGCACCAGAGAACCTTTTCTGAACCAGGCCACTATCCTCTCCATACAGTCCTCACCAAACCTGGAACACAGACAGTACACAATGGAGACATTTGTTTTTTCAGTGACATACTGATCTGACATAGAGAAAATCACTGTTATAACATAACATAATACAATGTCAAGCAGATTAAAAGAGACTCTTTTTACACAGTCAACCAAATCTTTTATTTAGCCAACACTTCAGTTACAGTCTGTCACCTTCCTCAGGGCAGTTCTGACTGGTTCACATTGCACTGCAGCACAGGTGTCGCTGCTATAGTCAGTCAGAATTGTCAAGAGGAAGGTGACAGATGGTCTCTTTACTCAGTGACTTACAAACCTGATGAAACTATTCATGGATAACGTCAAGCAGTTAGTAAATGAAATCAGGATGAAATTTAGCATCTTATTGTTTGGCAGGCAGGCAGGCAGTCAAGTTGGTATAATTGTTTGAAAAAAAATCAAAAGTGCTACCAGCAGCTCTAGCTCTGCCTGGTTTCATATTGAAACCCAAAGTAACTGCTTTATGAGTCTGGAGAATTTAAACGTACTCACCAAATTTCGCCAACGTCCCCACTATCCTCAAAATTTCTCTTTTCTCGTTCATACGCCGCATCCCAACTGCAAACAAATTGTCAGCGTTTAACAGAATAGTTATTACCAGTAATTACCTAACACTGTGCTACAACAGGTGTATATATATATATATATATATAACGTTATAGTCATGCCAATATGAATAAAGCTGAATCTGAATCTAGTACTTAACTGTTATAACGTTACCCCGTATACATACATGGAGTGGGACACAAATGAAAATATATAAAAAAAACATGTAGTATAAATACAATCACACTCAAAACAGAAGATAACATATTAACGTTACTGTAATCTACTAATATCAAAACACACTGGACCGGTTTTTCCACATCCACCAACCCGGTTTCACGCATGCTCCCCTCCCCCTTTTCATATTTTTATCGGTCAGGCTGCCTTCAAATACGAAGCAATGGCGTTGGGCAGGGCAACATTCGCAGGAACATTGCTTCATAAGCTATGCCATCTATAAAGCACACATTTGCGTCTCTTACTATTCTTTAGTCCCAAGTTCAGAGGGTCCGAAAGATCCGTCTGATCCGTCGTCTGCCATGGCTGTCACTTCCGGGTTTTCTCAAAGGATTCTGGGTAAGAACAAAACGCTCGCGAATGGACCAATCACAGTGCGGGATTGAGGTTTTCATACAGGTGGCGCTTTCCTGCATCCTAAACTTAATATGTTTACCGAAGCAAAACGTATTGGTTTTTTTTGCTCTGTTTCTTCTTATTCTTCTCCCAAACAAATAAGGTCAATGACCTAAACCAGACGTCTGTTACTATGGTAACTAGTATTGAGTTACATCATGTTGCAATTTCATAGCAGGAGGGATTTAGACACCATATGCAAAGGGAAATATTCTTTCCAGTTAGTAAAGTTTTTTGGGGGGAGGGCACTTTTTTTTTTTTTTTTTACAGAGGCCAATATTCAAAACTTGATATAACCTTAGGCAGAGAGAGTTATGAGGCTGAGGGAGGCCTCATAGAACAACAGCCTGGATTATTATTAAAGAAAGAAAAATCGTATTGCAAACGCTGTTTTTGAAACCAACAGTTTAATTCATATCCATATGCTGAAACTTAATGGTACAAACATAGTTATGACAGCTTGGGACAAAAATAATTTCTTGTCCAACAAGACTTCTGTTACATATTACTACAACTGGGAGGAAAATCAAATTTCACATATATGTATTCAATGTTTTTATATTGTACCGTTATTAACAGTTTTTAATAAATTATAGCTGATAATCTACCATACCATAAAACTTCCTATACATGTACATAAGTAGTAAACTCTAAAGACATCATCAAGTTCTTCCTAGTCATGAGATGACATGTTTTGGCAACACCTAAAGAGCTTTGATGGCCAATTTTTTGTGCATTAGACTGTGAAGACATAGACTTTTGAAGTTGAATAGGATTTTGAATATCTATCACCCCACAAAACAGTATCAATTTTTGCGACTGAAAAAAACAACTTAAATGTACATGAAAGTACAACTCATACACAGTCCTTTACTATACTGTGAAGATAATGTTTTGAGGAAGTTTGTCCACCAATACACCTATAGCAATTTTATCACCCCCTATTCAATTAGTAGCAAGCATAACCCTTTAGCACCATTTGCAGAATCAGACACTTGTATCCAATGTACAGGCAACAATTTTACACCTCTACTGTTCTTTTACAATTTCTACAACATTTAGAAGCCAGCTTTCGCATTACAACGTGGTAGTGAAAGATGTCAATGTCTCGATTGATGCTTTATGAACTGTCATATACCAACTTTGAATGACATAGGATCTCTGATTGGATCCTGTCTGTCTTTTTTTAAAATGTTTTGTCAACTGTCATGTACCGATTTCGAATGCAACAGGATCTGTGATCGGTTCCTGAAACATTTTGAATAGCCTTCCATAAATGCTGCTGTCACAAGCTACCCCATTGGTGTAAAGAACAGACAAGACTGGTAACCTCGTGAACTGCTCCAATCACCAACCCTGTTACATCATGACAAGCACATGTATATGAAAATATGCTGATTCCAAGCGACATGTCTACTTTTGAAGACACCTTGCATAAAACTCTACGAGGACCAGTAATACCATTGTTTAATTTTGCACATTGCATAACAAGGGTTCTGATACCATTATCCATTATAATTTACCCAGAGCTTCAAGCAGATAAGATACTTCATTGTCATTTGCATACTCCTCTAGTTGTATGTATTGAAATCTGTTGAGAGTACTTAGTACTGTCGCTCACTGTACTCAAGATGTGAAGGGCATGGTTTCTACTGTTAGCTTCTTCAGCATAAGCGTGATTTCCTAATCCAAGTCATAGTTCTGCTTTTCAAAGGCTGGCTTACATACTGGAAGAAACGATTATCATTCAATGGGATCCTAGAAGACTAGTTAAAGGCATCCAGAGCAGTTTTTAGGGCTTGGAAACACGATTTTTCAAAGCTAATATTCCAGTCATTTATCTACGAACATACTGAGTTGGAACCACACTGTCCCAATGTATATTGACCCTCATTGAGCAAAAATTCTGATGGAAAATGGTTACTGGAAGGGCCCCGAGCTGATTTTTAGGGTCCCATCCAGAAAATAAATGGGGCTTGTTTCTGCAGGTATAAAAGTCCACCAAAGTATGAAATATTGACTCAAACGTGCCAATGTGAACCAATATGTGTGAATATCACAAAGATTGCCTTATTCAGAATAATTCAAGTTTTGCTGCCCAGAAATTGCATTGGATGCCTTTAACATGATAAAAATTAAATAAAAAGGATCTGACGGCCATTTGCTATTTGACCCTTTATAAAGACTTAAGTATGCCATAGTACTTCTTAAGTTTGTGAGACTGTTTTAAAGATCAGACAACTCTGGAGTTACCTAAAGACTCTACGAAGGCAGCTTGAATTCTGCTGCCTGTGCATCTTGGTTACAAGCCTGAGTGTCAGCCCTTTTAGCTTTCGTCCGCTCCCCGCGATTCGCTACCAATCTTTTGTCCAGTAGCAGATCGCGTAGCCTGGGTGCCAGACGCTGGCGTTCATAAGCGATATATTTTTTGTGTGGAAAAAAGCCCTAATGTCCACTACTGTATCCGCTACCCAACCCCAGGCTGCCCCAAACCCAATATCTTTCACGCCAGCGAATGGTTTGAGAGGAGATAATTAGAGCCAGGGCGTGAATCAGGGTCGGCGGGGCGTGTGGCTTTCCCTGGCCGAGGGATTATCTCTCATTCGTCGTAGGGGATGGCACCCAGGCTACAGATCGTGGGGAGCAGACGAAAGCTAAAAAGGCTGACACTCAGGCTATCTTGTTACACGTCAAATCTTTTCCCTGATTTTTCTGGAGTTTTTATTATAAAGTCTGTAGCTTTATCAACAAGCTTGGATTTGTTACAGCAGATTCTCCTGCAGAGAAAGATCTCGGGTAAATGTTGTTTCAAACTGACGCCATCCAATATGGCTACCATGAGCACGTCGGCAGAACGTACCGCACCTGTGAGAAACCCGTAATGTGTATGTTGTGCATAGCACTTTGGCAGAACGTCACATACAAGGTCGTACTTGCACATGTAAGGTTAACATTCCCTCTGTAGTTTTGAAACGTTACGTCGGGAAAGATATCGTCTGCAACAGGCAAAATTTTGATGCAACAACGTTGACAAAAATCAGGAGGGTTTCACACAGTGCAGTACATTCTGTTGACGTGCTGTCAACATAACATCATATACATGTACAAACACTCTATACCTCATCTTCACTCCTCTAGCCAACTAATATCTCATAACATACATAGTAGACTCCAGGGTTCACCTTAACATTGTGGCATCAGCATAAAAAAAAAATCAGCATCTTGGGATGTATATTTAAAGAGAAGCTGTCATAATCTATCCTTATGATCAATCACAGAAAAGTCAGAAGCTTACGACCGAGACTGGATGTGACTTATATAATATAATATGACATGACAGCAAATACTAATAACAATTACTCCTGTCAATCTATCTGTATCTGTCCACATCCAATGTCAGTATGTCCACATCTGAGCAAGCTTCGGTGTGACATCAAAATCCTGCACGAATTAAGACTCAGGTGTATCTGCATATTTGAGATGATTTACATTAGTCATCAAATTTGGGATATATGTTTACCAGTCTGGAGAGAGATTTGTAAATAAACTTGATGATAACTGAACTATCTTGGCCTGGATATACAGTGCAGGCCATTTTTTACTAGACTGGTGTTGGGTCGGCCATCTTTGGAATTTGGAGTTGGCATTAGGCCACACTGACTTGACCATATGGATGACATCCATGGGAGTATCAATTTTTGTCTGGTTCTCCTCAACAAGGTGACAGAGGTCGAAGATGCCAGAGGAAGGGAAGCAGGGCTTGAATTATAAGAAGATGTGAAAGAACAAAACTTTTTACTGGTTGGTAAACCATGCTTTGAGTGTTCAGTCATTTGTTCAACCTTCCTCACCACTTTGATTTTCATAATGAAGGCAAATTTTTATTTCACATGCTCACATCAGTTTAGGGGTGATCAGAGGATGTCATCCATATCATCCAAACATGTACAGTGTGGCCTTGGTACGCATTGCCTGAGGGTCAACTGTGCATCCTGAGAATGGACAATCATTTCAGAATCAGAAAAACCATTGTTGTCTCCAAATCTTTTTCAACAAATACTTAATATTGGTGTATCCAAAACGAAAATGGTACATGTACTTTCCCCACCCATATACAATGTGCATTGAACAATATGCTAAACATTCAATGCCTAGTAAATTTCTAGAGCTACATTTGTAATTCCAGGCCGTCACTGAACAACGCATCTGTTCATGTCATCTCTGGAGTCGTTATACCGCTCCCCGGAATCGGACAGTCTGGGGGCGTCTCGCTTCATCATGTTCTTGTAGTCCTTCACCGCCTGTGCGTGATTCAACAGCTTCTCCACCTCCATGTGCAGCAGATCCCTCCGCCTGCCCTTGGGCTCGGCCTCCAGGAGAGAAAGTAGTTCCTCCAGGGCGTGTTTGTACTCCTCGAGGGCGCTGTCGTACAGCTCGTGCTCCGCCCTGAGTTCCGCGATGGCGGCGCGCTTCAGCGCCTGGTGGAGCCGCGTGCATGACCCCGCCATCTCCCACAGCGTTTCCGCCTCTTTCGGCGTAGCTTCCCGTCCGTCGTCTTCTCCGTCCTCATTGGTCGGTTCTTCTTCTTCGGCGGGCTTGATCATGGACTTGAGCTCCTCGGCGCGCGCCATGTACTCCATCACGCGCTTTCTCAGCACGTCCTTCTTCGACTCGTCCGTCTCGTAGTGGACCGCGGGAACGAAGTACTCGAGCGCATCGCAGTACTTCTTCACCGCCTCCGCGTGGCTACCCTCCTCGTCGTACTTCACGGCCTCCGTCACTATGGCGACGGCCTTGTCGAGCGAATCGTGGGACGGCACGTGCTCAAGGTCGATGAACGGGTGGTTGAAGAACTCCTCGAAGGTTATCCTCTGGTTGGGATCCCTCTGCAGGAGGCCGAGGAGCAGATCCCGGCACTTCCCGGAGATCTGGATCCCCTGCGGGATCTCGACGGGTCTGGTGTCCCGGATCTTCACCTCCAGCTCGGCGTAGGATCGGGAGTAGAACGGCGCTCGCCCGAACAGCGCCTCGTAAAGTATCACCCCCAGCGACCAGAGGTCCACTCGTGCATCGTACTTTGTGTTGCAGAACATTTCTGGTGCCATGTAGAGTGGACTCCCGCGTAGCGACGTCATGCGCGCCTCGTCCCCCATGTACTGCGCGAACCCGAAATCCGCCAGCTTCAGCACCGGGTTGTCCCGCGAGGACAGAAGGATGTTCTGCGGCTTCAGGTCCATGTGGGAGATGTTCTTGGAGCGGAGGAACTGCAGCGCCATGGCCAGCTGCTGCCCGAACCTCTTCGCCAGGTACTCCGGCAACGTTCTCTTGCTGTGGATGAAGCGGGAGAGGTCCCCGCCGCTGCAGTACTCCATGATCAGGTAGATGTTGTTGCGGTCCCACTGGAAGTCCTTCAGTTCCACGATGTGAGGGTGCCGCACGTTCTTCAGGATTTCGATCTCAGTGAGGAGGTTGTCGGTGGCGGCCTTGTTCAGGTTGGACTTCTGGATGCACTTGATGGCGACCACCTGCAGTGGTAGAAATAATTTTTGTTCAGTGTAGAACACAAGAGTTTACCTTGCTGACGTTTCAATGTCTATCAGACACTTCCTCTGAGCTTCTGACTGGAGTTCTGCTTCTTGCTCGCTTGCTTCAGAACTCCAGTCAGAAGCTCTGATGGAGTCACTTGATGGCAACGACCTGCAGTGGTAAATTATTTTTTTCAGTGCTCTGCAATATTTTTTAATTCTTTATTTCAGGCATGACTTGCCCATAAAAAACATACAGATAAAAATACACACAATAACAATAGTAAAAGTACAGACGGGCCAAAATATTGCCATAGACTCTGTTGCGGAATATTACATTGGATTTGAGAACAGATTGGATAAAGTTACGCCAAAAAGCATTTTCCAAAATCATATCCAGTTGCCTGAGTAACTGCTTTTTGGCATATCGTATTACCTGAACATCTAACCTTCATCGACGTATATTGGATAATGTTGTTTGAAGACTTGTACAATCTACCAGATTCTGCAAGTTGCAGAAATAGGAGGGGTAGTTGTTCAAACACTGACCTGTCTGCGCTTGCTCTTGCTGTAGGCCTTGAAGACGGTGGCGTACGTGCCGCTGCCCAGTCGCTCTGTTAGAACGAAGTCCGGAAGCTGCGGGACAGCCGCTAGCCTGGCGGAACCGAGCCGTGCGGAGCCCGGGCGGGCCGTGCCGGGTCGCGACATCTTCGAACGTTTTACCCTGCTTTTCTACGAGTTCTCTACAACCATTCCAGCTATCTCAAGTTTTCTTTTTTGTTCATCATAAAGTCAACGTGTATAACTTGGGAAAAAGGTCCTTCAAACTTCTGTACAAATTGTTTTCAGAGGTCAAGTTTTCACACCCTGTTTTAACTTTCTCCAATCTCTTTGCACTTTTTCAAGTTTTTTTTTTTCTCTACTTCTCAGTTGATAGCCACCACAGGTGAGTTTTTCTTTCTGGTCAGGAGATGACTGGTGTCCTAGGCAGTGCCATCGTAAAGTCAAGAAAGTAACCAAGAGAAGGTGTCCTTCAAATTTGTTTAGAAAAGTCTTTGGAGGTAACGCTTTCACACCCTGTTCAAATTTCTCAAATCAAGTTTTTTTCTACTTCTCAGACGAGTGCCACCACAGGTGAGTCCTTTTTCTCTCTGGTCAGGAGACTAGGTCCTAGATTCAGGGTCCTAGATGACTCAGTTCCTAGGCGGTGTGTGGTTCAGGCGGTCCAAACTTCTCCATGGTCTGGATGGTCATGTCCAAGTGGTCAAGGAAGGAGTGGAACGCCACACGCAGGAGACGGGCCTGGGGGGCGGTGAACAGTCTGGCGGAGGGGAGAAAAACACATCAGAGGCATAAGCCTGCATGGCATGGTGAGAAAACACTGGTTACTTTACATTTTAACTAAAATGCACTGGAAACTTACATCCTACAATATCCTACAATGCTGTAGTACCTAAGGAAACTACCAGGGGGCCCAAAATCTAATCATTCCTAGTTTTTGTTACAACCTGCCAACACACCGAATACAAAACCAATCCATTCAATTATTCTTGATTTATCTTGGTGACAAACATCTACACATAGACACACACTAACAACCATTTTTTCATGGATGCAATAAGTCAAAAGGTCCAGACTAGGTTAAACATAATAATATCAACTTGTGTAACCTCTTTGACATGGAGTGTGAGCTCGAGTGTATGGCAATGTGAAAGACCACAGAATACAATGTAGCAGATTACATACTACAGATCACTTAGATTAGGAGAGACACTAGAACTAATAGTCCATTCTAAAATCAACAAGTACCTCTGTACATGTTACTCAGGTATGACAAAAACACCACCATCAAGACACAATCACAACCTGGTATCCACAGCAACAGGCTGCCATGGAAACGATACTCACACGATGAGCTCCGTGCCCTCCACACGCAACTTTTTCACGATCTCCTTCCTGGGTTCTGGGTCGGGGAACAGAGATCCGTACGCGATGAGAGCCAGCTGCTGGGAAGGGAAGGGCACACGCAGCTCCCTGGTCGGTAGGTGGTTAAGGAATAAATTGTGTAGTCTACAACACTACTATCCAGTACTGTAACAGTATACTAGAAAGGTAATATTTGCAAAGCAAATGAGTCATGTTTACCTTCACATATGGTCTGCTCTTAACGCATTCATATATATGGTGACAGCAGTCTACATCCCTCCTGCTATAAAATTGCAACATGATGTAACCCAACACTAGTTACCATGGTGACAGACGTCTGGTTCAGGTCATTGCCCTTATTTGTTTGAAGAAGAAGAAGCAGAGCAAAAACATGTTTTCCTTTTCATAAAAACAGCACCCCAAACCACCCACAGCTGTATGCAGCTACAAAATCCCATTTTCTTAATTCGTAACTTCCTTTTTTTAAAAGAATTGTATTTATGATTGACAATTCAACAAGGTCTTATGAGGAATTAAGAAGGAGCTGAAAGATATGATCTAGATCCTGTGCCATTGCCAATTTGCACTGTGCTAATGGCAGAGTCGTGCAAGCTCTTACCACACAAACGTCACCATCACTCTCCAGGGACGGGCCTGTACAGCTGACATACAGGCTACACCAACTCAATGTCTAACTTCTCAGTTTTTATGTTTAAATTACCTTCGCAAAACATATTTTTTCTTGGCTTCTTCTCCAAACAAATAGAGTCAAAGTCAGTGACCAGGACCAGACATCTGTCACCATGGTAACTGGTGCTGTAGCAGACACCCTGTGGTGTTGGGTTACATTTTATAGCAGGACAGAGCTGGAGAGGCTAGAATATCAACATGAATTAAAGCTACTAGTAACTGATGAAAGATAGCATCCACTATCTTTCACTGAGTGCCTGAAAATGAGGATTACCGTAATATGAGTCCCTGAAAAAGATACCGCATGCGTGGATACTATCTCAAACGTCTGAATCTTTAGAGGATTGGGCCAGTTACTGGATTTATCTAGTGCTACGTAATGTCTTACCTGGATGTCTAACCTTCATCAACCTTTATCTATTTATTTCTTAAACTTGTTTGGATGTGAACTAACCTGATTATTCAGTCTTACCGCTCTTACGTATTAGTAGTGTACTGAGAAACAAGAAATCGAATTAATGAGGCCCGATGACGTCACTGTGTCCTCCATTAGATTAGTACAAACAATTGCAAAGCCCCAGTGTCTACAGCTGCAGCAGACAGCGACGTCCCCAGTGAAATTTCAAACTGCCATTCTAGACGAGATTGTCTGGGTTTGGTCCACAAGGAATAATTACATGCACATACACTGTACAACAGCATCCCATAGCAGGCTTCTCTTCTGTGTTCCAAGCATAATTTCAGGGCTTGAAATATCGGGAGCATGCATTTGCTCATTTGCTACATTTAGATTGGAGCAATTGACGGACTGGACAAAATTTTTGTCATTTTCATTTTTTTTCATTTTTATTTATTTATCCAGGGGTAGCATATCGCCAATGGCAGTTTTCAATGCTCCTTGCACAGAACAATACATAACAGTTAATAATATAATAACAGAAAAAGTAAAAGAACTAACATAGGTACAATCATAATCGTTGTGATAATAAAAGAAGCAGGACAAAGTACATGTAATAACGTAGAGAAAACAAACTAAATAAATATGACAAATGATGTAAATGATATTGATATCCACCATGAGCGACGAAATGTTGTCAAATGACAGTGCTAGTAAGAACTCTGGAAACACATTTTCCTCCTAATTGATCATGATGATTTTAACCAATGCCAGGAATTGATAAATTGAATTTTTCTCAAAACAAAGGGTCTCCCTGGGACATTCAATTTCATGACATCACGTTCCAATTTGATGCAGCATTAAGCTAATTGTGAGAACGCGTTTGGAATGGTTCTATGATAATGACGTGTTTAACGCATTGATTCTCTAAAAATGTAAAATTAATTGCAGTTATCAGTGATGAGTATGTCAAGTACATGTTCAGAATGGGACTAAAAAACGCATGTAGAAATTGTGACTGAAAGACAAATACATTTGTATTTGCTACTTGCCTATCATCATATGGTACTTTGATGTCATAAAATTAGTAGAGCAATACACTGATAATGGAATGGTAATACTTACACATTTTGCTAAAACAATTTGCACACTCAGAGATTAAAACTTAACTGTTTCAGAAGGAAATCAATGTGAAATTTAAGATTTTCATCACAATAGATTTTTGCCATTCCTAATACACGATGACATCATCAATACAGGTGTTATATTTGTGACGTAATTACCTGTAAGTGATTCCAAATGACACCTAAAAGATTTCCAGACATTTACGACAAAACACGTTCGTAACAACAACGAAATCTCGCAACAACATTCCTCAATGATTTGTCCAACTTCAAAATGTTTGTGTTTCAACGGCAAATAGTCAAATGGAACGGTTATTTTGGGTACGCTCACGAAATACTGCTACATTTCTTTCCCCACCCCACCCCCATAAATTTTTACACGAACGAAAGCGAAACATGATTCCACGTAAATCTACTAAACAAAAACTCAGACAGCTGGTCAATTTCTTACACCAGTTGCTGCTTAAGACCCTACTGACACTTAGGAAGTCTTAGACAAAAGGATACATGGATAAAAGACCGGTTTTTCCTTCCACCGTCTGCTTGTCACTGGACGTCGCCATCTTGGACTGGTCTATCTCGTGTCCTGTGGGGGGAGGCAGCATGCGTTCCTTTGTTCTACGTTTTATATTTTCGTAAGGCGGTGTAGAAATGTTTGCTTTTTCGTATGCTAAGCAATGCTGTAAGATATTAGGCTGAAAATTATGTGAAGGGCAATAAGGTTTTAGAAACTCTATGCCTCGAAATTTCAAGGAAGAATGGCATTTTTGTGCATGATTAATTGCAGACATAAATCGCTAGATAGCGCTCGTCTACGGTGCTGTTGAAAGACGGCCATGCAAATCAGGAGCAGCAATGTATGTAAACAGTCACTCCAGTCATCAGGTCGCTACCGTTTTTGGCTGCATGCGCACCAGCGTTACGTGATCCGCCTGCTAAACACTTCAATAGTTCACACTGACGTTATATAAACCGGAACTCCAGTGACGTTTGCTATTCGAGCAATTCGCCAGACAAAATGGCTCCCTTGAGGATAACATACGCAGCTCTTTGTTACATTTCTTTGTTCATGGAACTCGCGACGACCTTGACCCAAATCGGTGACCTCTCACGTTCCGAACAGCCCCCGACGTGGCCTTCCACCTTCTCGGTAAATTTCCACGAAGAAAACTGGGTCTGGATCATTCCGCTGGCCAGGAACGCAGGCGCTTGGCACTACGACTTCGCCAACAAGCGGATGCGGTACGATCATCTGCAGGGCCAGTTTGACAATTTTTGTCACGGCCGCGGCTTGGACCTGAAAGACTCCCGAGGCGACTGCCACTTGTTGTTTAACGCCACGGACATGTTCGTGCACTACCCTGGGGAACAGAAGTGCTGTAGGGCCTGTGGGGTCGCGGAGGGGTGCACCGTACTCAAGCCGAACTGGCTGGCAGGGGGGACCTACCTGGGCACCGAGACTATCAATGGTACTGTGTGCCATGGATGGGAAACAGACGGAGCCGCCGCAACGGACAGGTTCGTCAGTATGCTAACGGGCAACTTGGCATTTTAATGCAGGGCTCGAAACACTGGGTGCACACACACACGCACGCACGCACGCACACACACACACACACACAGTTACACACACACACACACACGCACTCACACACATACACACCACACAAACACACACACACACCACACAAACACACACACATGCACACACACACACGCACGCACACACGCGCGCGCGCGCACACACACACACATACACACACACATGCACCTTCATCATCATGTACACCTTAGTGCAGGTACAATTGTGGACGTGCAGGTGTTTCTAATGTCTACCTGCACTAGGTATATACAGGCTAGTGCAAGTGTTTCTGGTGCTAGCTGTCTACCTACTGGTCCATGTACTGGTATATGCAGGTTTAATATATAGTGCAGGTGAAATTGGAGCTGTACAGGTATTTCTGATGTCTACCTGCAACCTGAACTGGTCCATGTACTGGGTATATGCAGGTTAGTGCAGGTGATGAAATTGGAGCTGTACAGGTATTTCCGATGTCTACCTGCACCTAACTTGGTTTGGGGTACTTTTATTCTGGCGTTTTTTTCAGGACCTGAAATTTTTGACTACGCAGTACAGCTACATTGTACATACTATGATCAGCTATGAAAGTATGCTATGCTTGGCTTGTAAGTATGAAAGTAGTAGACATTATATATATACTGAACCCCTATTGCAAATCATCTCAAAGTCCTGAGAGTAAGCTACAAAGCAACAGGTACTAGTGTTGACGCTAAAATTGCATGGCAACTTATCTCACCTTGTTGAGCCATGTTTAACCAAGGAGGTTAAATCGGTTTAACATACTGTTGAGCTACAGTAGACCCGGGAGCAACTCAAGGGTCACCTTTGTGTTGTGTAAACGCCACCCTTAACGCCCCTTTAGGCAAATACCGCAGTGTTCAATGACCCGTCACACGGGAAACGCTGACGAAGGGCTGTAAGAATTAGGGCATCATTGAGGGGTCATTCACCTGTTGATCGGTAAGTTAACATGGTAATCGTCGCAGTCAGCACTTATGGAGTAAAACAAGTTTGAAAGGCGTCTCTTGGGGTACTTTAATTTTAGGGAATTTTAAGATTCAAGCCTGCGATATTTAACAAGCAACATTTTTTCGTCAGGAATAACGCATTTTTTACTCGTAGACATCCGTAAAATACAAATGTATGCTATCAGTCAGCGTTAACGGAGCAAAACTATTTTTTTCTCGGCCATAAAAATAGCGCTAGCTAGAACCAGCCTACGATCGATAAAAACAATTGCAAGCAAGCGTTTTCCGCCAGCGCAGCAATATCGCATTTTATTTTATTTTATCTTATTCACATGGATTTTTGAGCATTAGATAGGAAGCACTTGTTGTGCTTATGTGAATCCGCTGCTCATAAAACATAATACAAATGTAAACATATGATGACATAACATATAACATAAACATAAAATGAAAGTGGCTGGCGCACCAATACCTATAGCATACCATTAATGAGATTGGTCAAATCTTCCAGAGTGATGAATATAGTTGGACACAATATGAACATCGCATTTTGCCTCACAGACAACAGTAACGTATGCTATGGGATAGTGTTGATTCAACCTACTACATTAAAAGAATGACTACAAAATTTACTTTGAAAATCCAGTTTTGCTTGCCTGAACTTGCACTGGAAAAACAGGAAGATATATTGGATGAGGAATTCTATTTGGCGTTGACGTTTACTGCCATTTCTTATCACATTTTCTTGTCATATCATACTTAACAGTGTGGCGTCGGTGGCGCAACGGTTAAAGCGTTGGACTAGGGATCAGAGAGGTCCCGGGTTCGATACTCACCGTGGCCCGACGTTGTGTCCTTGGGAAAGGCACTTTACACGACTTCCCCACCTATACGGTGGAGTGACTCCCACTGAGCCTCTTAGGCTAATCTGTCTAACTGTGTGCCAAAAACACCTTACTGATTTGGTGCGCCGATGTGACAACATCTGCACATTGGCTATTGAGTGTCGTTACTTTTTTTTTATTATACTTAAAGCACTTGTTCCCAATATTGCAACAGTGTCTCTTTATTTTTAGTTGGCTATTTTTAAATGTTTTGTTTCCTCCTCCCAGGTGGTACCAGACAGAAGACGGCACGCCGTGCCGATACGCGGAGACGATCAAATTCTGGCCGCACTCGACTCACAACATAACCTTCCACATGAGTTCCTACAGTCGCGACCCCATCCCAAATAGCGTCTTCCACGTACCGGCGTACTGCAACGTCAGATGTCCGTCCCCCTGGCGGCCCTTGTCCGCACTGCAACCAAGCATCCGAGTCACAACGTAACCTTCGACAGGAGTTCAAACAGTATTGTAATCCGACACCGTAGGATGTCTGCTACAGCACCAGTTACGATGGTGACAGACGTCTGGTCCAAGTCATTGACTTGTAACATTATGTATTTTTTAAAAATTATTTGTATACTAAAATTCGTCAAAATATTCATAGTAAATCACAAATCAGATGTTACTCGTACCAAGGTCTTGTACAATGTCTCTGCTCGTACGTTTCTCAACGCATAATTTTATTAATTCAATTAATTAAATAATTATTTTATAAGGGACAGTTGGACGCCTGTTTTACTCCGTAAAGCGTTTCTAAGCTTGCACTGACTGGATAGAACAATGTTTAAGTCACTAAGTTCGCGCTAAGTATGAGGACAAAGCCACATCAGAAAACATTTGCGACATGTTGCCAAGTTCTGTCGTCCGGTTCTAAAAATAAACTAAAATAAGCAGATTTGTTAGTCCTCTTTTATTTCTTAAGTTGTCCGACTATTTGTTCAGTAGACTCCATACATAATTTTATATATAAATAAATATATTACAATGTTTCAGAGCTGACATGCACGTAGAAGTTCATATTCTTTTATAGTAGCTCTTTCTCAGCATACACTGTACCAATATATATTATCATCTGGACCAATACATATACATATACATATACACTGTACCAGTATATATTATCACGTGTACCAATACATTTAAACTGTACCGACATAACTATAGACCTATCCCGACTGTCCATAAAAATTAGCAGTTCAACCAATAGGAGAACGGCAATTGGCGGTTCAACCAATGAGAGAGTGGCTGGATATCCGCCAAATATTTGAATTTTTTTTTATTTTTCTACGTTCTGATGTCGATGGGCCTGGCTTTGGGATCGGCCTATATCTACAGTACAAACATACTATTACCATTTGACAGTAGATATATAGTTCGAGGCTCATTATACAAACTTGTATTTAGTCTGTGTTCATAATACATACTTCTAATAATATTGAATAACATACACCTTTATCGTATCTTTCCTTCAAAATTGAAAACGATCAGTTGCACATGCACATGCCATAAATGACAAAACACCTACAGATTTTAGGTTAATGATTGTTTTTCTTTTGTTTCTTGATATTTTATTAATTCAGTGCAAATCACAAGAAGACAATTGAAACCAAGGCTTGGTACTAATAGGATGAAACCAATGCCCGACGGCGTCTGTAGAAGTCATCAGTTTGAAATGGCTTTAAGTTTGTACTTCTGCCAATCAGATTTGCAGATTTTACTGTTGTATGACTGCCCCACTCCTGGCTTCAAAAGTGTGGTTCGCTGTGCCGGGTTGTTGTCATCCCAACATTGCTCACTCAGCTGTTCCGGCCACAGCTTTTGTAGCGTTGATCACCTGCACGTGCCTTACGTCGCCTAAGGACGACTAAAATGACTATAACGGCACCGAAACAGACACAGGCTAACAAAATGCCCACCAAGCTATACGTGAGCGCCTGCGTGTCTGCAGACGCAGCTCCGCTTACGGGCTGGAGCGAGCACCCCGTTCCGTCCACGAAACCGTCTCCTGTATATCCGACGTTACAGGTACAGTTGGCGTCCAGTGCAGGGGCGGGGTTGTCTGTACAGGTGGCCTGGGCGTGGCACGGATTGGACGCGTTGGAACAAGTGTTGATGTCTGAACATGGAAATATAAAAAAGAAGTTGGCAACATGTCTGCTCTCACCAAGTTGACCAAAAACAAACAACAGAAACATTTTTTTTTACTTAGCTACCTGAACATCCAGTTCCGTTCAGGGCGCCGTCTCCGGCGTATCCAGCGTTACAGGTGCACCTGGCGTCCAGTGCGGGGGCGGGGTTGTCCGAACACGTGGCGTTGGCGTGGCACGGATTGGGCGAGCAGGCGTTGATGTCTAGAGACGGTAACACAAGATGGCGATCAGTATATGCTGCACACAAGGGAGGTAAAAAAAACAATGACCTAAAACAACATCTTGATTAGTGACAGGGGCAGGTATAAACTTCCAACAACCTTTGACACAAAATAGCGATCAGTATATGCTGCACACAAGGGAGGTAAAAACTAATCACATAGAACAACATCTTGAATCTTAAACAGAGACGGGAGTCGGTACAGACTTTCGACCACCTTTGACCCAGAAATCACGTCACTTGAACAGAGCCGGGAGTCGGTACAGACTTCGAACTACCTTTGACCTTTGGTCACGTCACTTGAACACAGACGGGGGTCGACATAAGATAGCGATCGGTAAATGCCGTACTTAAGGGGGGGGGGGTAAGAAATGTATCGCATGAAACAACATCTTGAACAGAGACGGAGGCCTACACAGACTTCCAGTCACCTTTGACCGGGTGCTGACGTCAACCTTGCGGAAAGCAACGCGTACTGAGCAACTGGGTTCTCAGTTGTACTGTGAGGCTGTGCTGTGTGTTGGAGGTATTTTAGATCCCTTTTCACATAACCCTAAGAACAACCTGATGCTAGTAATACTGGATACAGGCTACCGTATGGACAGGATAATAAAAAAAAGTCATACCTGAACACCCAGTCCCGTCCAGGCGACCATCTCCTGTATATCCGACGTTACAGGTACAGTTGGCGTCCAGTGCAGGGGCGGGGTTGTCTGTACAGGTGGCCTGGGCGTGGCACGGATTGGACGAGCAGGCGTTGATGTCTGGATAGGACAAAGAACAATGTGAATCTGTACTTCTAAATGGCAAAAATGTGCATTTCATGCCTTATAATTATCGTTTAGGAACTCTTTGATTCCGTGTGTGCTATCGTCAAAGATAGACCACCGTGCACGAGTTCCATAGTCAACTGACGAAAGGAGATAAAAAACATAAACAGAAGGGCTCTGTGAAAATTACGCTACCTGAACACCCAGTTCCATCAAGGCGACCGTCTCCTGTATATCCGACGTTACAGGTACAGTTGGCGTCCAGTGCAGGGGCGGGGTTGTCTGTACAGGTGGCCTGGGCGTTGCACGGATTGGACAAGCAGGCGTTGATGTCTGGATATTAGAGAGGGCAACAGTAAATACAACAATGAATTAAATTATCTCAGGTGTGGATAGATTAAGTGGATTCTTCAAAATACTCAAAGCCTTGCTCTTTTAAAGACCACAAAACCATCGGCTTTACGTTCAAGCCTAGAAGACGTCCCCAACTGAAGCTAGGTCCACATTTTCACCTGAGTGGAGTGAGGCAATTGTGGGGCCTGCAGGGATTTGAACCCAGAACCTTTACACTCTGAGTTAACAACCCTTACCACAAGACCGTCTTGCGCCAGATACATTGTCAACGTACAGGAGATTTAAAAAAAGCATGAACACACAGGCTTTAGAAAAATACGTCACCTGAACATCCAGTCCCGTTAAGGCGACCGTCTCCTTTGTATCCGAAGTTACAGACGCAAACTCCGTCAAGTGCAGAAGGGATGTCTGCACAGGTGGCCTGGGCGTGACACGGGTTGATCGAGCAGGCATTGATGTCTGAAAAGGACGAAGAACAATCTAACTAGAAAGGTAAGAATACTAAGATTTTGCAAAGGAAGTGCATAGTGTATACACTCACATGGTCTAGCCCAAGAAACTACTGCTCTGCTTATATAAATTTTACGAGTCAAGAACTTGCCACGTGCCACTTGCTACTTAATGTAATTCGACACCACAGGATGTCTGCTGCAACACCAGTCACCATGGCAACAGACATCTGGTCCAGGTCATTGACCTTATTTGCTTGGAGATGAGACGACGAATTATTTTCCATTCTCTGAAAGCAAACATACTTATTACTTTCTGATGGCTAAATGAAAATCTGATTTTCATGCCTCTTGGTTCAGAAACTTTTCAAGATGTTTTTAATCTTCAACTAGCTTTGTGGAAGCTTAGCACAATGGACCTGAACATCCAGTTCCGTCCAAGCGACCGTCTCCTGTATATCCGACGTTACAGGTACAGTTGGCGTCCAGTGCAGGGGCGGGGTTGTCTGTACAGGTGGCCTGGGCGTGGCACGGGTTGGACAAGCAGGCGTTGATGTCTGGATATTGGAGATATATATGTAAACATTAATTTCAAGAAGTAACTAAACTATCCGTCTAAATCCTGTGTATTGTTAGCAACTTATTACCGTTGAGTGAAAGCTACAGTGATAAATAAAGTGGGTTCTTTAACGCACTCGAGTCTGGCTCTTTGAAAAGAACAGGACTGCCGGCTTTACGTCCCATTCTAGAAGACGCCCCTAACCGAAGCTAGGTCCCCATTTTCACCTGAGTAGAGCGATTGATACAATAGTTAAAGTACTAGTACGTTTCCCAGGGACATAGCATTGGGGCCTGCAGGGATTTGAAATCCAGAAAATTTAATTACCTTTTCGAGTCAACAACCCTAACCACAATATCTATTGTCAACTGACAAAAGGAGATAAAATATGCCCACACAGGCTTATGAAAATTACGCTACCTGAACACCCAGTCCCGTTAAGGCGACCGTCTCCTGTATATCCGACGTTACAGGTACAGTTGGCGTCCTGTGCAGGGGCGGGGTTGTCTGTACAGGTGGCCTGGGCGTGGCACGGATTGGACAAGCAGGCGTTGATGTCTGGATAGGACAAAGAACAATGTGAATCTGTACTTCTAAATGGCAAAAATGTGCATTTCATGCCTTATAATTATCGTTTAGGAACTCTTTGATTCCGTTTGTGCTAAATGTGCTATCGTTAAAGATAGACCGCCTTGCACGAGTTCCATAGTCAACTGACGAAAGGAGATTAAAAAAACATAAACACAAGGGATCTGTGAAAATTACGCTACCTGAACACCCAGTTCCATCAAGGCGACCGTCTCCTGTATATCCCACGTTACAGGTACAGTTGGCGTCCAGTGCAGGGGCGGGGTTGTCCGTACAGGTGGCCTGGGCGTGGCACGGGTTGGACAAGCAGGCGTTGATGTCTGAATATTGGAAACGGCAACAGTATTAAAATACAACAATGAATTAAATTATCTCAGGTGTATCATAACATTCTGCTGTTACAACATTGATAAATTAAGTGGATTCTTCAAAATACTCAAGGCCTTGCTCTATTTAAGACCACAATACCATCGGCTTTACGTCCAAGCCTAGAAGACGTCCCTAACCGAAGTTAGGTCCTCATTTTCACCTGAGTGGAGCGAGTGAGACAATATTGGGGCCTGCAGGGATTTGAACCCAGAACCTTTACACTCTGAGTTAACAACCCTTACCACAAGACCGTCTTGCGCCAGATACATTGTCAACTCACAGGAGATTTAAAAAAAGCATGAACACACAGGCTTTAGAAAAATACGTCACCTGAACATCCAGTACCCTTAAGGCGACCGTCTCCTTTGTATCCGAAGTTACAAACGCAAACTCCGTCAAGTGAAGGCGGGATGTCTGTACAGGTGGCCTGGGCGTGACACGGGTTGATCGAGCAGGCTGGATAGCACAGAGAACAATCTTAACTAGAAAGGTAACATTTGCAAAGCAAACCCATAATATTAACTTTCACGTGGTCCAGCTAACAACGTTTTGCTCTATTTACTTTTACTCAAAACACATTCATTAATACGGTGTCCATCCAACTCTATCTTGCCACTTGCTACTTAATGTAATTCGACACCATAGGGTGTCTGCTACAACACCAATCGCCATGGCGACAGACGTCTGGTCCAGGTCATTGGTTGACCTTATTTGTTTGGAGAAGAAGAAGGCGGTAAAACACAGCAAAATCATTATATTCCATTCTCTTCAGGTAAACATAATTATTACTTTCTGGTGGCTTAAACAAAAATATGATTTTCATGCCTCTTGGTTTAGAAACTTTTCAAGATGTGTTTTATGGTTAACTGGCTTTGTGGAAACTTAGCACAATATTATGTACCCGAACACCCAGTCCCGTTAAGGCGACCGTCTCCTATATATCCGACGTTACAGGTACAGTTGGCGTCCAGTGCAGGGGCGGGGTTGTCTGTACAGGTGGCCTGGGCGTGGCACGGGTTGGACAAGCAGGCGTTGATGTCTGGATAGGAGAAAGAACAGTGTGAATCTTTACTTCCTAATGGCAGAGGAAAATGCGTTTCAATGTCTTATTTAAGAAACTTATGTGTGTACAATCTTACTTACTTTGGTCGAACCAATCCAGAAAGCATACGCCATCCCTCTCTGTCTAACATCAAGAACCGGAGCTCCGCCACTTCAGTAAGGCCGGCATCTCACTTGAGGTTGTCAAGGTAATTTATCTTTGGTCTGCCACGGCTTCTTTGGCCTTTTGTAGGCTCCCAAAGGACCAGTTTGGAGGCTACAATATCGATATCAGGTATGTACAATAGTTTAGCGGCTTGGTTACACACAAGTTACCTGAACATCCAGTTCCATCAAGGCGACCGTCTCCTGTATATCCGACGTTACAAATACATTCGTCAGGGTCAGGGGCGGGGTTGTCCTTACAGGTGGCCTGGGCATGGCACGGATTTGGCGAGCAGGCGTTTAAGTCTGAATGCGGAAGATTGCATGAAAAAAACGCACATTGATGTCAAGCAAGAAAAACCATATCATATTTGCAAATTATGTGTGTTGTAACATTCTTCCCTTGAGTGAAAGTTAGCCTTGATAAATGAAGCGCACGATATACATTTGTAGTTTGCTATACTGAATGACTGCTGTGTAGTACTACCTATACATAGGAATGGTGCATGTAATATTAAATCAGTATCAGTATGGGCATATGCAAAACCAAAGACCATGCATTTTAATGCTAAACCAATTAGATGACATCAAACGTCTAAAGTAATAATTAAAATTTCAACAAAGTATAAATACTTCTGACAAGGTTAATGAGGTCATTTACATCAGGTCTAATCGCCCTTTACTCAACCGCGACGGAGGCCGACATCGTATACCATTTACCTTTGACCAGGTGTTGACGTCACACTTCAAAGAAGCCACGTGACTAGTCTCACTGGGTCAGTCTACTGAAGAAGACCAGAGTGACTGGTGGAAAGCTCTAGTTGAGAAAATTTGTCTTTTGTTGAATCGAAAGTTTTAATAACTATCGTAGAGAGGAACTTGTTGCCACTAAGCACAGTCGGTACAATGAGTGTAGCTAGACGTTTTAATTGGTGTGATATAGCCAGCTGCCGCCGCGCCGCGTGCCTACGAAGCTGGTGTGCATACCTAGCCTGGGTCCTCTCCGAGAGCTGTGGGTGCCAACGAAAACTAACCAGGATGGTACCTAGACTAGGTTATACCGGCCATACCGACACAGATATAGATATGATTACAATGTTTATCTTACCTCGGGCACAAAGTGCGTATCTGTCACTGTGGTCGTTGCCAGTGGCGCAGTAGCACGTAGGACCAGTGAGATAGCCTGAGGGACAGCCAGCCATCTCAACTCCGCAGGCTGAACCTTCCCGCCAGGAGTCTTGCATGACGATGTACGTCTGGTCCAGTGGAGGGCACTGCGAGGCGTGGCCGCCGCCGCACACTGCTTTAGCCAGCTGGTCCATCGGCCAGCTGCAATTGTTCAGGTTGGGCAGCAGGACGCAGTCCCCTTGGCAGGTTGTACCGGCACACGGTGTGACGTGACCGGCTGCCTTACATGTTGTGTCAACGTTTGTACTAGACATGGCCCCAGAGGCCGGCATCTTGTAATAGTTGTAGCCGGAATATGTCACCAAAAATACTCCAGCTGGAGAAAAGAAAGAAAATGAGTTATGGTCACATAAGGATTGTTTAGTTCGAGTGGCGATTTATATCTGGGATTGAACTAATGTGGCTTTGTTATTTTAACGGCGTTGCTCAACAACTTCTAGGGATTGAGCTAGGTGACGTCGATACTCCCCCAACTTTTCGAGCGACATCTATCAAGCAATCACGTCGCCGTCTAGGAGGCAACGTGATTGGCTTGTAGCTTAACTTCCAGCCTCAAGAGGACTGTTGATTGGCGCGTGTGTGTGTGTGTGTGCTTGTGTGTGTGTGTGCGTGTGTGTGTGTGTGTCTGTGTGTGTGTGTGTGTGTGTGTCGTCGTCGTGTCGCGTCGAGAGAGAGAGACACAGAGAGAGAGAGAGAGAGAGAGAGAGAGACAGATAAATAGATACAAACATTGTCCTCTTCCCGTATCAGCCATCAAGGGAAGGGCAAGTAATGCCCAGACCATCGAGGTGCGCCACCCCATGTTCTCTTAGTACCTGCAGTTCAGCACAAAACACAGTTAATAGTTTCATCAGGTCGGTAAGACACTGAGTAAAGAGACTCTTTTTACACAACCAAGTCTTTTATTCAGCCGACATTTCAGTGACCGTCTGTCACCTTCCTCGGGGCAATTCTGACCGGTTCACTTTGCACTGCAGCACAGGTGTCACTGCTACAGATGCATTTCCAAAAGCACAAACTATTGATTGATATGCAAATAAGTGAAGACAATTTTTGGAAGTCCAAAAAGAAACAAAAGTTAGACAAGTCAAGACAAGATGATGCAAATTACTCAAAAAGCTTATAAACCTGCATTTCTCCTCTGGTCTTTCAGTCACTGACGAAAGCTAGTGGATACAAGCTGAAACGTCTGACCGTTTCCAAAAATCATATCCACTTGCTTTAGTAACTGTTTTTTTTTCGTATCTTATTAATTGGATGTCTAACCTTCATCGACGTAAGGGAACATTTAGTCACCGAGACGAAAAGACTCCCGGACATTGCTACTGGGATCACTTTGTTTTGGGCTATCTGCAGTAAAAAAAAGAGGGATCTTACATTTCCTATCAATTCGCCACTTTTACTTTCTATTACATGTACATTGTAAGAAAAAAAATCGCAAACTTACCGTATTATAGTTGTTGAACACAGAGATTTTGAACCTCGCAGAGGAGATGCTGAGAAACTCCCAAATGCGTGTATCACACAAGCGACCGCCATGACACCACGGCCAGCGAGTGGTGCCCAAAAAGCGGATGGCGGTTGGCTGATTTGCCGACCTGTAATTTGCATATACATGTCTTCAAACCATTTGCATGTATATGATGACCTTTTCGCTCCGAGCCACCATTCACGAGTTTCCCATCCCCATGATGCATTGCGAAAACAGGGGTCTATACGTCATTTGCATAGAACAGGACGTCATCCGAACGATCCTGTGGCCCGATCCTGTTGAGACTGTTGACGTAAAAAAAATGTTTTTCAGTGTGTTTTAGGTGTTGGGGCAAGGACCTTGGTTGGGGGTATTTTATGGTCCACATGAATTAAATACTATGGGTCGAATCTGACAACAAATAGAAAATGAAGTTTTAGTGTTCTTTTCAACATGGAACATGTGGTTTGTAACATTACAGCATCCACTATAACAAACGTTACAAACCACATATTCCCCCAAAAAATCGTTCTCTATTTGTTTTTAGATTCAACCCATAGTAATTTAATTAATGAGCATAAAATGCCCCGATTTGTTGGAGATCAAACCCCCATGCACACCCTTTGGGACCAGGCCGCCTTTTCCAGATACCCCCCTGTCTGGTCAGGCTAGCCAGTATTTTCCGCAAACCCACCCGAAATGGCGGACTCTCTGGAAACTTTTGGTACTTTCTGCTCCGCATTTTCCAAGTAGTACAGGTTAGAGACCAAACCCCCATGCACACCCTTTGGGCCCAGCCCACCTTTTCCAGATACCCCCCTGGCTGATCGTCAGGCTAGCCCAGGGTTAGTCGGTGTTTTCCGCAAACCCACTCGAAATGGCGGACTCTCTGGAAACTTTTGGCACTTTCTGCTCCGCATTTTCCAAGTAGTACAGGTGAGCACACGCCAGTAGAGTGTTTACAAATTACTTAGTCAGTTAGTGGAGACTGCGATTTTCTCATACCATGCACAAGTACCTGTGTGTTACGTTATTAGGCAAAATTAAACGGGAAAGGATGTTGTGTTGTTGTCTCTTTTGCCACCCTCCCCCCTTCAGCTTCGAAAGCGCACGTGTCCCTTCCCTGCTTATATTAAATGTGTACGGAACGTTGGAAAATGAAACATACATAACCAGTTGGGCGAAGAAACTATGAACTCCTTACCTTGCTAAGTAGTAAATCTTTAAGTCTAGCTAGCGTTAACGGATGGTCTGTTTTGTTTAGAGAGCTAGCGTAGCCAGTACAGCTGTCAAAAGCGTCGCGTCTGTCAAAAATGGCGCATATACAACTTTCAACAACTAAAACTACCTCCAGGTTTTGCATGTTGCACATAGGATACTTCTAGTTCTAGTGCTCAGGCAATTGTGATGATAAGTCCGAAATAACGTGTGATATTGTGACGTTTTGTGGTAAGTAATAATGGCCAATACACATTTACCACTGAAAATATAATCCAGCCCACCCAGATGCTGTTTATATTATCATGCTAATGAATGATGGTTTACGGGGGATCCTTTTATAAACACTTTCTGTGTTGTTGTCTTTTCATGGTCAATCTGGTCTACTTTCGGTTCACTATATGACATCATAACGCTAGTGATTACCAATGTTAGTATTTCTATTCAATATTTTTTTGCAAAAATTTACTGCTTTATCCTTTAATACATTTTAATAGCACTATACTTTCTTTCTTTTCCCACACAAAGAATCTATTGAGTTAGAAGTTCTGCCATATGTTGACATTGTACCTCATTGTGACTATTGTTTCTTGTTTCTTAGGTTCTGTTAGTGGAATATTCACCACGTAGATTTCATAATGAAGGCAAATTTTTTTTGTCCAAACTTTTTTTTATTCACACTCGCATCATCAGTTTTGGGGTCCCCAGATATGGATGTCATCCATATAATCCTAACTGTTTATCTTATGTTAGGTGACTGATAAACCTCTGCAACGATATTCGTAGGCTCTGTTCTTTCTCAGAACCAGCCATGGCCATGTCAAGGGGTCATCTTGCCGCGGGGAAACAGCGACTGAAAGAGAAGCTGAAAACTATCGACGAATTAAAAACTCGTGTTTTGCAGTATATTACCAACCTTACTGAAGAGGTAAATATTGGCAATTTTATCCAACAAAACTTGTACATTTGTGTGTGGGTGCGTGTGTTTGTGTGTGTGTGGTGTGTGTGTTTGTGTGTGTGTGGTGTGTGTGTGTGTGTGTGTGCGGTGTGTGTGTTTGGTGTGATTTTGTGTGTGTGGTGTGTGTGGTAGTGACTGTGTGTGTGTGCAGTTGTGTGTGTGTGTGTGTGTGTGTGGTTGTGTGTATGTCACTGTGTGTGCGCGATGTGTGTGTGCGGTGTGTGTCTCACTGTGGGTGTGGTGTGTGTGTGTGCGGTGTGTGTGTGCGGTGTGATTTTGTGTGTGTGGTGTGTGTGTGCGCGGTGTGTGTGCGGTGTGTGTCTGACTGTGTGTGTGTAGTAGTGTGTATGTGTGTGTGTGTGCGTGGCAGTGTGTGTGTGTGTGTGTGTGTGTGTGTGTGTGTGTGTGGGCATGCGTGCGTGTGTGTGGGCATGCGTGTTATCGCAAGGATACATTGTGATTGGACTAATTAAACAATGACTGTAATTGAAATATCATGTTTGTTATTTCAGCCCACGGAGGCCGCTTTGCAGTTGCTAGAGGAGACTGACAGGGGGCGGTTTTTCGGGCAGTTCTCTTCTGTGAGCCAGGACCTGGAGAAGTGCCTGGACACCCTGTTCCTGCTCTGTGTATCCCTCAACAATGACGAAGGTAGTAAGTAACATCTGTGTCCATAATATCACCAGGGTCCATAATATCTCCACCTTGAGAAATAGTGTGCTTTAAGATATTTTTACTGCAACATACTTTTGGTATGCACTCCTGCACACCTCAAATGTTCATCCCTAGGGTATGTTGCAGTAGAAATATCTTTAAGCACACTTTTTCTCAAGGTGGTGATATTATGGACCCTGGTGATATTATGGACACAGATGTTAAGGCCTAGGAGAAAAAATGTTGTGTTTCCTGACCTACTCTAGAGAAAACTGCTGACCCTAACCTTTTTTGGAGTGCTGATTGACCTTTTCTAGCTCCACCTGACACCTCAGCGATGAAATGTTGCACAATCAGTTTTCCAACATTGACATTGAAAATATAAGTGTCCTCATGCAAGTTTTATTTTGATACAGTATTGTACAAGTTGGATCACTAGAGATTGCCAAAGTCTAATAAAAAGAAAAAGAAGTTAAACAGGTAATTCCTACCTACCTACCGATCCTAATTTTTTTAGCACTAAAACAGGAAACACAACATTTTTTTTCCTAGGCCTAAAAAGCATGTACCCAGTTTAACCGTTTATAACTAATCGGAATCAACTGCATTGTCTGTTGGAATAGATCATACATGTAACAACATCAGGCACATTGTGATCCTGTGATATTTTTCTGGTCTATTCTTGGAAGTACCATTAGAGATCATATTGCTTATAACTAATATAAGTCCAAATTAAGTGAAATTTAGTGTAAATTGAAGAAAAGGCCCCACAGTTAAAAGCAGAACCATGCAACCAAGTTGGGCCACCTTTGCTAAGTAAAGTAGATAATAATAAAATAAGATAAATAATAAAGAAAAATTCTTATTTTTTCAGATGCATGTGACGGTCCTGTTTCAGAATTGTCAAGCAGTGAGTCATCAGAGTCCAGCGTTGGAGCAGTCAAACCTCCATGCTTACCTGGCAGAACTGAAGTGTCACCCGAAGCTGTCTCTAAACACACTGGCAGGAAAAAACACCACACAGAGCGCAAGAAAATGGCTCCAGAGAACGAGTCAGGAATCTCGTCTATTCAGATAGACTCAGAGTCAAACAGTCCCCCAGAGGTGACCTGTAAAGAAGCTGACGCTGTCACTGGTTTGAGTCCCTTGCATGAATCTGGCCGTTCCTTATCTGTGCAAACCAATGATGCCATGTCGGAAGAGGAGATTGACAAAGAAAATCATCATCCCATACTTTCGAGCCCCCCCAGCCAGACTGGTGTTGACATTTTACGGGACGAAAGAACCAGGAACAAGTCTTCTCATACTTCAAGTTCACCTACACAGCACTCGTTTTCTTCTCAGCTGCCTCAGGTTGATATAGACGGTCTGAAAGAAAGGAGGACGAAGGAAGACGTCTGTCCAACCATTGCAGGTCCACATGGCCTGGGTGACCAGTTACTGACCAACAGAGAAGAGAAGATGAAACAAGAAGAGACTTTAGCCATTCAGAGTTTGCCTGATGAAGCAGACAGTTGTGGCTTGCCTACAGATTGCACAGTGATACAGGAACAGGGGATAGGAGTGGAACTGGCGAGAAAAGACAAAGAATCGGTCACAAAGTGTGAGGCACCATCTGGAGATTGTAATGATGTAGAGAATGAGGGACAGGAAAAGCTTGAGGATCTGCAGATGTTGAGCAAAGAGGTAGAAGCACCAGATCAAAGACAAGATGATAGCAGCGTCTGGGTCAACAACTGCAGGGTAGATGTAGATGGAACAAACGTTCCTGGAGAGCCGTCTGCAATTCTGCCGAGCTCTAGGCAGAACCCTGACTGCAGGGCTTCTGCTAAGCAACAGCAGGAGCATCGCCAGCGAGTCTTGTGCACAGGTCCGGGCGTTGGGATGGAAACACACCCGCCCGTCACCAGGAAACTGTTGTTCAACGGAGAAGAGATTCCACTGCCAAGTGACACCGAGTCGGAGCTGTCGTCTTACTCACCGTCCCATCCAAACACGTTGAACGTATCACGCAGCAGCGAAGACTGCTCTACCAAGGACACATCTTTCTCTTCACCGCACAAGGAAACCTCTCGGTCAACCACGAAGCCTAGTAGTATAGACATGGAAGGAAATGATGATTTTGACATCCAACCGCAAGTCTGCAAAAACAGAAAAACTGAAGAGGAAGAAGCTAATGAAAGTCAGCTTGCTGCTCTCGACCATCTTACTGTGCAGGGAGACTTGGATGAGGTACATCTAACAGGAGAGGTAAAAGCTGGAGATGGTAGGACAGCTGAAAGAGTGTGTGCTACCTCCAGCAGGATGGTGGGTACAGTTTCAGTCGCACAAACTCTCGAGCTGGACTATCTTACTGTGCAGAACAACTTGGAGGAGGTACATGTAACAGGAGATGGTAGGACAGCTAAGATAGTGTGTGCCACCTCCGGCGGGAATGAACTTGTGGGGACGGTTTCGGTCGCATCGTCGACTGAGGACTTGGAGGAAATGATAGCCGTTCAGCGCAGTTTAAAATATGCAGGTCTGATCCCAGCTCCATCCTGCCATGGAGAGGAAAAGTCATGTCAGTCTGCGGAAGAAAGCAGTCTCTCACCTGCTAACACTCAGCAGAGCAGCCTCTCGTCAGTTCTGCCTGATCCGCTGTGTCATTCCAGTCCCGTTCGCACCAACCCACCCTCACAGGATCATCCGTCAGAAGCAACGGAGACATTTTCCCCTGGTTACGAGAACCGTGCCGAGGTGAAACCACATCGCACTGATCCCAACAGTGAAGAAGAAGTAAACATGCCAGTGCCACGGAATCCACCCGGCAATACTGAAGGAAGCCACATCAGAACGAAGTCGTCTTCAGACAACACAGCAAGTGAACAGGACTACTACTCTAACCGTGTTTCAACTGATCATAGCCATGTGCCAAGTCCACCCATGCCAGTACCACGGAATCCACCCGGCAATACTGAAGGAAACCAGAACATCAGAACGAAGTTGTCTTCAGACAACACAGCAAGTGAGCAGGACTACTACTCTAACCGTGTTTCAACTGATCATAGCCAGGAAAATGTTCAGACAACACAGCGAATGAACAGGACTACTTCAGGCAACACGGCAAGAGAACAGGACTACTACTCTAACCGTGTTTCAACTGATCATAGCCAGGAAAATGTGCCATGTCCACCCAAGTGCCAGTCCAGTCCACACATGATACAGCAGCCTCTGACTGTACATGTACAAAATGTAGGAACGGAAAGACTCTTCCCTACTACAGACTACTCAGAACCACACCTGCATCGTGAGGAAGGGGAGCAAAACACTTCTTCTACATCGCTCGTAAACGCAACGGAGACTCCAACAGTCGCCAGTGTTCCGTCATGCCAAGCTGGCCATCCAGTACGAGTCAATCCACCAGTGCAACAACCTGTCTCAACAACACCCATGCTGTAAGTGGCTTGCTACACAAAGAAGTGCAATAGTCAATCAGTGCAATATATTATATTTGATATTTATTGCAAATACATGCCTGAGGGCTAATTGCAGGAACAGAAGAAACATTTGGTATGAAAAAAAAACAGACAATTAGTACATATAGAACTAGAGGTCGGAGATCTCATGTCTTCGTCAGAGGTACATCGTTCTAGAGAAATTAACATGCGTATTCTTCACTCTTTTTAATAATCAATTTGGTCTAAAGAACAAAAGAATCTCTGCACTATTTTTATGGTACAGAACACCCTGAAACGGTTTGCCGCAGATTATACAGATGCGTCGTCACCCGTGTTAGCCCCCCCCCCCTACGTTATTTGAGTTTGGACTGTTACTAGAAAAAAACGTTCAAGAAATTCTTACTGTGTTGAAAGTGTCACGACAGCGCCGCAAAATATAATAAGAGAAGATGTTATAAAGGAAAGAATCAGAACAGGGTGACAACTGCTGTTTTGTTAATTTGTCTTTATGACAAATAGAAGACTTGTTTCTTGTGTTCTTTGCGTCCTAACATTTGTATTTCTACAGTTAGTATATTCCAAATCTAGGCATCTCGTTTTTCGGCCCTTCGTGTTTTTATTGCGCGCTTGCCTTAAATTCAAGGTAATTAGATTTAAGGTCTCCAGTGGACGTCATCCATAGCAATTACTTGGTGTGGCCGTAGAAAATAACCTGACATATGTCCAACCTATCCTCCTCCTGCTGAAGTTATAGTACAATCCCTCAATGTGACGTAATTTGATCCCATCCCATTATGGGGTTCCCCGGCTATATCCAGCTGTCGGCTGTCTCCAAGCAGATGTAGGTGGGGGATTTCTAAACACAAAAGGTCCTATTACGGGGACATAACGACCTCCACGACTCTCATCTTTGAACTCAATCTTGGAGACCACCACAGTAACATGCCTATCAAATTTCATTAACTTCCATCCACACATACAAAAGTTATCCTGCTCACAAGAAAAATTAACAAAATGCCCCCTGTAGTCACAACGAAACCCCCCACGAAGCTCAGTAACGAACTTAACCTTGGTCCCGACAATAGTAAGCACCACACCAAGAATTATAGTCAACATTTTACAAATACTTGAGTTATCTTGCTAACAAGCCACAAACACAAAAGGTGCACTAACGTGACGCACGGACCCCCCACGAAGCCGAAACTTGTACTTGACTTCGGCCTCAACAGCGGTAATCTGCCTGCCAAAAATCATGGACGTCGAATCATGCCTTCCAGAGTTATATCGCAAAATCCGCAGTTCCCCACACTCCGGCGAGACAATTTCATAGTCCTTCTGACGAAGACAACTACTGATAAATACTGAGAAACTACTAGTAAAAACTACTGGGTTTGACTTCTTTTTTGAAGACAGAGGAAGACAAAGGATACCTCTTTTTTGGTAATTTGTGGGTTTTGATGTAACCTTTTATTGTATTGATTAGAACTTATGCATCCCCTTTTTAAACTGCAGTTTTGGTGTCCAGATAGTCCGATGCACGCATACTTACCTTGCGTCCCGTGAGTTCCTTAACTGTTTTAACTGTTCATCTTGTATGTTTGTCAAAAGTTAATAAAAATGATTTTAACTCTTTCTCTTCCAGTCAGAACAACAGTGGTCAGGCCAGCATGCAGCATTATCATTGTCCACAGGTGCAACTGCCACAGGTGAAAATACCACAGGTGAGATAACCAATGCAGTGTTCAAATAGGAAAATACATTAAAGGATGTTCTGATCTCAGAGACTACATGTTAGAGAATAGTTAAACCTTTAGTGTTACCACATACATATATTCTGTACGTAGGATGACGTTATCCACACATGTATTTAGCTTTGTTAGATCTTTAGTTGTAGAAGACCATACAAAAGTCCCTGTACTTTTTGTTGTACCTCATATGATCTTGCGTTATATATATTTCCTCACATATTGTATTATATTACCTATGATCTCTGACCTCCAAAACACTATATTATTGTTATTGTTATACTACTATATTGTATACTTTTATTATTCTCTGTACTTAAGTCTGTAGTAATTTTATAAATGATTTTAGCTTAATTTCTTACTTGTTAGCATACTGTATTAGTATGTTATATTGTGTATGTTTAATTTTTGTATCTTTTTGTCACCTGAAATCAGCCACGCTGCCTGGGTGGCCAATGTATTGTCTTGTTTCAATTGAATTGAATTAAAATAAAATTAAAATAAAATAAAATAAAAAGACTACTTTTTGTTGTGTCAATAAAGAATCTATAACGGTACAAATACCACAGGTGCAGGGACCACAGGTGCAGGGACCACGGGTGCCATCCCTGACCTTCTCTGACGGTGACTCGCTAGACGTGGTGGTGTCAGACATCATCAACCCCTCCCACTTCTGGATCCAGCCTGCAGGAAATCAGCTCAACCTCCTGACAGAGCAACTCAGGTGGAATTTCCTACTACTCCTAACACCAGTGTTCTCGCCAGGCCTTTTGAGCATAGTATGAAATATTGATTCAAATGTGCTAATGTTGGACAGTATGTGTCAATCCTACTTCTTCCATAATGCCCCTTTTTTGGGTGGGAGTTGTTGAGAATAAGCAGGGCTCTCCCCAAGAAATTAAGCAAGGGTGCTCCCCCTCTTCCCAAAATTCTGCCGAAAAACAGTTACTGGAAGGACCTGGATTGATTTTTAGTCTACCACACAGAAAAAAGGACTAATCTTGGGGCTTGTTTGTGCAGTTGTAAATGCCTTTAGTATGAAATACTGATTCAAATGTGCGTATGTGTCAATAGCATACAGATTGCCTCATTCAGAATATTTCCAGTTTTACTTTTACTGCCCTGTCACTTGTCTGACTCTCCTGTATATTCTTTCCTCCAGCCTGTTTTACGAGAAGTCGACCCTGCCGCCGGGACTGCCGTACACGCCTGCAGTGGGCATGTTCTGTGCCGCCTGTTTCACTCAGGACAACACCTGGTACAGAGGGCGCATCACAGCTGTGCATAATGTGGAGAGGACGGGGATAGCCGAACTCCTCTCTCCTTCCTCTTCCCTGGCTCCACGTACGTAGGTTCCTAGAGCACGTCGGCAGAACATACTGCACCTGTGCAAAATCCGTAATGTATTGTACATAGCACTTCGGCAGAACGTCTCATATAAGGTTGTATTTGCTCATATAAGGTCAGCATCCCGACAGTAGTTTTCAAATCTTATGTCGGAAAAGATATCCTCTGCAACAGGCAAAGTTCTGGTGCAACGTTGACCAAACATCCAACGAAAAACGCGAAAATCCAGGGTTCTGCGCAGGCGCAGTACATTCTGCTGAAGTGCCTGTTCCTAGCCTGGAGCTAGCCTAGCTGGCAGCTATCGACCTATGGACTTGAGTGGCAAATGTTTTATGATTGTAATGTGATGTATATTGAGTTGCAACTGTAATGTATATTGTTATTGTGTGTTTTTCCATGTATATTGTGTATTTTATCCCAGAGATATCTGAAAAACAGGTCAAAAGACCAGTTTACTTCTCTGGTAAAATAAATTAAATAAATGAATGAATGATCCTCTACTAGGCCCTCCTACAGGGGGGGGGGGTACGAATCCTAGAATTTGATTAAAAAAGGGAAGTAGTTGGCCCCCTCTGACCTTGCCGCCTGTCAAACCCCTCGGAACCAAGGGGTTCAGCTGGGTTTGACTCCTGACATCCCACCAATCTTGTGCCCTTGGGAAAGGCGCTTTACACAACTTTCCCCATTTAACTCAAGTGAAAATGAGTATTGTCTGTCCTGTAGTTGTTTCTATGTGTGGGACACAACACCAGCAACAGCTGCCTTTGTCCCACATGTGATTGTATTGTTACAATTTCAAGAAAATCAATTTCATATTTCTTACAATGTGCAATGTACATTGCAGGTCCTGTGATGTTCAGGGCACCACAGATAGATGTGGATATCCTGTATGTAGATTACGGGAACCGGGAACGTCTCTCCATGTCCAGAATCAAGGAACTGCATCAGCAGTTTACCCGCCTACCCTGCCAGGCTCTCTGCTGTGGACTAGCAAAGGTAAGGTGTAAAATAGGCCTACAGCTTCTAAAACTAGAAACTTAAGGTAACATTTGCAAAGCAAATGCATAATGTTCACCTTCCCATATGGTCAGACAGGAGTCTAAATCCCTTCTGCTACAAAATTGCAACATGATGTAACCCAACACTTGAGTTACCATGGTGACAGACATCTGGTTCAGGTCATTGACCTTTTGTGTTTGGAGAAGAGGAAACTGAGCAAAAACAATATGTTTTCCTTTGGTTAACATAATAAAAAGAAACTTACTAAAGATGTGCTGGGATGAATTGATATTTTGCAAATTAGTAAACACTTTCCAGGAGAAGTGATGATACCAAGTGGTACAGGAGTCCATGTTATGTTCCACAGAAAAATTTCCACAGACAAAGTTTTTGTATGCATTTCCCCAGCAAATTTGCTTATAAATTTGCTTATATCCCAACTTGTTACAGGACATCCGAATCCCAGTTCTTCTTTCTATATCCTCATGGATACATACTAGTGTAATAGATTCAGTGTCTTCCTCTCTTCACCAGGTTATGCCAGGCAATGGCAGTGTTTGGAACGGAAGAAGAAGAAGAGGAAACGTAGCAAAAACAGTATGTTTTCCTTCGGTAAACATGAGTAGTAGATTCAGTGTCTTCCTCTCTTCACCAGGTTATGCCAGGCAATGGCAGCAGGTCGTGGACCTCCCAGCAGGCCGTGTGGTTTGCACGGCAGGTGCTCGGCAAGAAACTCCAGGCCGTTATCGACCTTGACCCTTCCAGACATGCCACAGAGGTCGAGCTGTTCTACACCGTCCCACACGACCCTCAGGGTCAGGGGTCAGCAGGAAGGGTCAGCATCTCTGAGCTGATGGTGACTGAGAAGATGGCAGTAGAGAGGATGCCGCTACATAGCCTTGTCGAAGGTAGGAAATTTTAATTAAGTCTATTCACATAGATTTGCGAGCATTGGATAGAAAGCATGTAATGAGCTTATAAGGATGAAAAGTGATTTGGAACTCGTAGGGAAGCCTAACATCTTTCAATGTATTTGTTAATTGCAGCCTGTATTGTACTCTAATATAAGTTGATGGAGGTTAGGTTACTCAAGCAACTGGATATGATTTTGGAAACGGTCAGATTTTTCAGCTAGTATCCACTAGCTTTCATCAGTAACAGTCACTGACGAAAGCTGGTGGATACTAGCTGAAACGTCTGACCGTTTCCAAAATCATATCCAGTTGCTTGAGTAACCGCTTTTTGGCGTATTGTATTGTACTCTTCCTTTCCCCATTTTCAATTCACTGCCTACAACGTGTCTCATTTTGGCAGGTGTGTCCAGCGAAGCTGTGCAGAGTGGAAACTTCGTTGGCCAGACTCCGCGTTCCCCCACCGTGTCCCGGCCGCCCCACCAGAGGATCCTGAACCATGACAAGATGCTGCAGGTATCGGAAGACTACACTGCCTTACCTGGTTGATCTACTTAATGAAACATGACACGATTGATGTATTAATACGTCTTCACACATTAATGAAATGGTTTTAATATGTGCAGGTCTATCGTAAGGCATTTTAAGTTGTATTGTGTAAGTATTAATAGTGTACATTAAGTGTAAATATTATCATCCTTGTAATGCCATACTATAACTCAGCTAAAAAGCTGCCACTGTATGGATGTTTTAAGTCGCCACAATAAACCATTGATATAGGACCAGGCACGTGTGCAGCAGCTCCTCTTGCAGCAGCAGGAAGAACTGCAGCTCAGGAGGCAGAGAAATGGCCGACCCATCAGAACCGGTAGTGTAGCAGACGACAAGAAGCAAGCACCACAGAAACAGCAAAAGGTGTCGCTGCTATAGATGCATTTGTAAATATGTAATACTATCTACAATGTATAATTTTATTTTATTTTATTGAAATTCCAACAGTGCAATACACGTGGAACAGAGGCAGCTGTTGCTGGTGTTGTGTCCCACACATAGAAACGAATACTGGACAGACAATACTCATTTTCACTTGAGTCTACTGGGAAAAGTCATGTTAAGTGCCTTTCCCAAGGGCACAAGGTCGGTGGCATGTCAGGACTCGAACCCGGGACCTTTTGATTCCGAAACGCGCACGCTGCCGTTGCGCCACATGACCCCACCATAATTTGAATGCTGCTATATTAAAATATTTTGATTGCAAATTTGTAAATGATATCAATGTAAAGAAATGGTTCTCTTAAGGTTTTTAATCTGTGTAATTCGATTATGTTTTTTTGTAAATTAGCGCTAATTCAGATTTGATGGAAATATGTCAAATGCTAATAAAGCTTTCTTATGTCTCTTAAAAGGATGTGAACAATACTGGAAGGCATGGTACACAGAACTCCTCCAAGCCTCCCACAGACAAGTCTGCACCGTCAGAGGAAAAGCCAAAGAAAAATGAAAAGTCGGGAAGTAAAGCTCCAACAGCAATGCATGACTCGGAGGATAAGGTGGTAGAGAAAATGGACACCAAGGGTGGAAGGGTTGCCAATTCAGAAGGTTCTATCACCAATCCCTTACTTTGTTGATCTGTTAAATGCTAGTTAGTTAGTGCAGTATCAGCCCTCATATCATTTTTAAGTGTATGAAACCTGTAACAAAGCCCATAGCCAAGTCTATAGCCTTGTCGCATTGACCTTTACCTCTACTTGTTGTGTGAAGAGGCATTGTAGCTCTCTAGCTAGTTTGTGTTATTATCGTGTAAATTATGTAATTTTTAAACCATTAGTATAGTTTAACATATAATAATTTTATCAACTGATGTTGTCTGTAAGAACAACTCAATTCAGACTCTTGTCTGCTAGTTGTTTGAATAATGATTGATTGATTGATTGATTGATTGATTGATTGATTGATTGATTGATTGACTGATTGATTGATTGATTGATTCTACTCCCCTAGATCCTCAGAAAGACTGGAGACTGGAGACAGCTGACTCCAGCATTGATGACTACCTTGACAGTCTGGCCATGGTTCCCCAGCCAGCAGGAGATGGGCAGCATGTCACATCCAGTGACAAGGAACACTCCTCCGGAGTCAAAAGAGATCAACAACCAGACAACTCAGAAACGGAGATTGTAAAAGCTAACAGTTCAGAACGCGGATCACAAACAACTAAGAGATGTGAGAGCAGTTCAGGTGACATCATCAGCCCACAGTGGAAGAAGCAAATAAAAAAGCTCAGCAGTGGAAACGGGTCCCTGAGGAAACCAAAGAAGAGAGGTGGTGCAGGCAAGGGTAGGGGGACGAAGATGTTCTCATCTTCAGGGTCCACAACTAGTGAGGATGACGACCGAAACTGGTGGCGCAACGACAGAGGCCAAAAACAGAAATCTCCTCAAGACAAGAAGATAATGAGCAACCATGAACAGAAAGAAGGAAAGAAAGATAGAGAGAACGGGGGAATGAGCAACCACGAACAGAAAGAAGGAAAGAAAGACAAAGAGAAGGGAGGAATGAGCAACCATGAACAGAAAGGAGAAAAGAAAGACAGAGAGAATGGGGGAATGGGCAACCATGAACAGAAAGAAGAAAAGAAAGACCGAGATAAAGATGGTAGTTCTAAGGATGCAGATGCTGTAACAGTTGTAGATGAGGGTGACAGTGCCCAGATGAAAAAGCCTGTGGTGAACTTGCACGATGACGGCTCGTTTCTGCTGATGACTTCGTACATCGTGGATCCCTCCGAGTTCTACGTCCACCCGGTCACGCGGGACGCGGCGAAGATCGACCACCTCATGAAAGAGCTGAACGCGTTTTACCAAGAGAAGATGGACATGTTGAGACACATCACATTCGAGCCGTGTGTGAACGACATCTGCTGTGCACGGTTCAGCGGAGACAAGACCTGGTATCGCGCCCAGATCTGTACGGTAACCTACAGGAGGGACTGCTCCTCCTCCTCTGAATCAGCTAGCGGCAAGAAGCAGCACGGAAAACCTGAGGCAGAAGGCTTGGATTGCTGTGAGGTTCAGGTCTTCTACCTGGACTACGGTAACTTTGAGACGCTGCCTGTGTCCGAGGTTCTGCCGTTGATGCCAGAGTTTACAGTAGTACCAGGTCTGTATCTGTAATTGTATCTGTATATACCTGGTATAACCGCCCTTTGGCATTACACACTAGCTTCTGTATCTGTATCTGTATAGCCGGTATAACTGCCCTTCGGCGTAACACACCAGCTTCGCAGGCACACGGCGCGATGTGTTACACCTAAGCCTTGAACATCTAACTCTAATTTATATAAAACATTGTTTAAAGCTATCTAATGACAATGCCCCTACTGTACTTGGTGACAGCGAGTTCCAGTCTACGATAGTTCTGGGGAAATACGAGTTTTTGAATACCTCAATTCTTGGTTGATAACTATGATATTTGAAGGCATGACTGTTTCTTGTTCTTTTTCTGTATCAGATACTTAGTGGTTGGTACGTCCACCAGTTCATTAGTCATTTTGTACATCATGCATAGTCAGGACATTTTTCATCTGTCTTCCAGCTCATGCCATGAAGTGCAGCCTCTATGGCATCATGCCTGTTTCAAAGACAGGAAAAGAAAGCAGCCCCAAGCCCGCCTGGAGTAGGAAGGCAGCGAAGGCTTTTGCTGACCTCACTCCCTTTGACAAGGCACTTGTGGGGTATGTGAAGGAGCACAAGCCTGGAAGGTAAACGGTTGCTTAATCATTTTTTGTCCACTTGTCTGTGATGACCATAACGGTTTAAGCAATCATTTTTGAACATCATTCATAACTAGTGTTGTAGTCAAAGAGAACATTCTGTAGCAGGCAATGTATAGGAAAATAGTCTGCTCTCCAAAATTTCTGACAGCAGCATCCTACATGTACATGTACAAGAACAGTTCTTGTATCAAATAATTATATAATTGAACTAAGAATGATAGAAATATTATGTCCTGTAGCAGTACTCAGTGGTACAGGAAGAAACATACTGAGTTTTATTATGAGACAGAAAGGGTGAATTCTCTTATGTGCTGAGTGATACTCTACAGCTTTTGGATGGTTTGTCACATTTTTACCTCCATGAAAAATGGAGGTATTGTTTTTGGAGCGTCTGTGTGTGTGTGTTTCTGCACCTTTATGGTCAGCATAACTTAAGAAGGCCTTTATGGATTATGATGATATTTTTTATTGAATGTCCAGTGAAGTGCAGCCCCCCCTTCAGCTTGTCCTTGTGGACACGTCAGGGTCTGTGGACATGTGCATCAATGATGAGCTGGTCAGCGCTGGAGTTGCAGAGATGTGTCTGCCTGATACCCCTCCTACAACCAAGACGTCCAAAACCAAAGGTGAAAATGTAAAATGTATGAACTAGAAAGGTAACATTTGGTGTATTTTGGTGGTATTTTGAACCTCGAAAAGGAAGATATATGTACATGGTTTTCGTATCATCAAAAAGATAATACAAAACACCAGATGTATAATGACAGGTTTTTCTAGAAAAATTTAGCATGGGAAAGCAGATCACTAGCATGGTGAGGGAGCAAAGCAAATTTTTGAAAAGAGTAACAATTTGTAATGCTAGAAGTAGAATGCATTGTTGTGACATTTTGTTTTGATGTTTTCACTGGAAAAAGATCCTTTTAAAAAAGACTTAATGTTGTGTATGTAGCCAATCTAAAAATGTATATGGGGGTGCTGGCTAGTTACATGAGGGAGCAGCGCCCTTATTCCCCAGTTTTAAAAAACCCCTGAGTAATACATGGACCATTCTGCAGATGACGCCTCCCTTGCTGATGATCTAAACGGCCTGGATGAGTGGGACCCCAGGGCTAGTGACTACCTGTCAGAGAGAAACAGCTACTTTGTGGATGTGGACAATGCAGAGGTGGCCACTACAGGATACAGTAAGTCTCAGTATAAGTGTGAGATATAGATTTAAAACTGTTCTGCTGTCTTAGTTAGACATTATTGTATCTGTGTAACGTTACCTGTTTTTAAGTTTAGTATGTTTTCATAGGTGTTCGTGTGTGTGTGTGTGTCTGTCTGTCTGTCTGTGTGTGTGTCTGTCTGTCTGTGTGTGTGTATGTGTCTGTCTGTCTATCTGTGTGTCTGTCTGTCTGTCTGTCTGTCTGTCTGTCTGTCTGTCTGTAAACACAATAAAGGTGGGTAGGTCTTGTATATATAAATGTTGACTTACATACATCAGCCTAGAATAAATAGTCTCAGCAGTCAGTGGCCATTCTCCAACAAATACATTATTTTTCCTAGTGTGGATTTGAGTACTAGAGTGAGCTGAGTTTGTGCATCCTTACATTGTACATACATGTATGTAGGTCCATTATACATGTCAAGTCTTGTAGGCTTTGAGTTAGCCAGTTTCAGTTGATTGGGATGCCCTATATATCCTCCAGGGCTCCTACACCAACTACAGGTACAGAAACAGACATTTACAATCACATTTATCGACATACACTAATACAGTAAACAAAAGATTTGAGAAATTGTATAAAAGTCTTTCCTATCAATATATAGTCATGAACAGGACATAAACAGACATTTACAATCACATCTATCATACACTGATATGGTGTTAAAAAGAAGATTTGAGAAAAGTCTTACCTACCACATAAAAGTCTTAGTATCACAGAAACAGACATTTACAATCACATTTGCCATATACTGATACAGTAACGGAATTACTGGTATAGCTGGTACTGGAAGGGCTGGTCATTTGTGTGGGCCATCAGGAGCCCTATTCAGTCAGGCTAAGTTCTGTGTGTCTTTTAAGATTGTATAAAATACGCCTTTATTTTTATCCACAGAGTCCAGGGAGATCCCTGTGTGTAAGTTCTTCCGGCCGGGGTCTCAGTGTTGGAAAGGAGACAACTGCTCCTACCAGCACCTGCAGGATGGGGAATCTAAAGGTAAAGGTCATTTTAGTTGTCCCAGCCTAAATTTTACTGGTCAGTGACCATTGGACCACCTTTAATTTCAAGCCCTGACACCTTAAACAGCATTTCTTTAAAAGCTTTATTAATTTTTGTACCTTACAGTGACAGAGAAAAGGGCAGTTGTGTGCTTTAACCACATGGTAGACCTGCCTCCGGTGCACACACTGGTAGCCGTGGAGGTGACTTCTGTGTTCAACCCTGGACACTTCTTCGTACAGTTCACATACGGGGGAGTGCCACATGACGAACTACTGGAAATGGGTATGCTCTCCTGTTTCTAGCATTTACAACATTCTGCTAACCATGTGTAAATTCTGAAGTACAGAATCCCATACATGTCAATGCAGAAATACATTTGTACTATGTATTCTTTACCTTTTCAAGACAGATATATAAAAATTAGATTACGTTGGATGTGTTTTCTGAGTGATTGTACATGTAGGATTTAATACAGATCTGAGATCTAACATTTACTGTCTTGGAGGTGTCAGTTTAAAACTATATATAAACCTACTTGTATGATATATTAGTTAAATACTGTAATCAACAAGGTGTGTGAAAATTATTATGTGTACATAAGAAATGTGTTGTAATGCAAAGTGTGGAAATTATACCATAGATACAGACTTTCAATAAAGGTTTCCAATGTTTAAAGTATTTTGATGAGTAAGAACTATCTATTCTCTTTCCAGCTGCTGACGGTATTGATGTAGACAAACCCAATCCTCTGGATGAGCTCAGTAAAGAGATAAAGTGAGTTTTTTATGTTATCAGTAATTGTTTGTTTATTGTAGAAATTGAAATATATGCTGGCTTGGAAGTTTCTAAAAAAAATGGTAAGGAACAAGCCAAGAAAAAATGTGGATGTTTTTAAAAAAACAAAAATACATTTGAGGAAAATCGTGTAAAGTGCCTTTTCCAAGGGCACAAGATCAGTGACATGGTAGGATTCGAACCCGCAACATCTTGGTCCTAAGCCGAACACGTTAGCATCTGTGCCCCACGACCCCACTTGTGTACCTGTATATAGTGCTAGATCACATTAGTATATATAGTATGTAAGTGTCATTGCAGCTGTATTCTCTTTCCCTGTTTATTCATGACCTGTACTTAGCTTGTTAGAGCACAACGTAC